TAAAATTATATTCCCTGTTTTAAGAGATGACGCAGTTACAAGATGTATTAAATATGATGAATTATTAATAATATTTGGCAATAAACTTTGTGAAAGATATACAAATAATCATCAACATGATATGATAAGAGCGCACTTAAGATTGTTGGGACGTTATAAGCTCGCTATTCAAAGTATTAATAAAGAAATTGATGATTTTCAATTGATTTTTCAACCTCAACATTTTAATACAGCTGTCAACGCACTTAGAATTGTTGCTAAATGGGATACAACTATAATGTGGTTTAAAACACCTGCGGTTGCTAATGCACTCACTACTTTATTAAAAAAATGTGCTGCTACACTACAAGCTGAGTGTATAAAAAAACAAGATTATAAAAAAAAACAGGCTATTGATGATTTTCTTATTTTATGGCATGAAGAAGTTCCAACTTTAATAAATAAAAAAGCTATTGAAGATCAAATAAAATATAAGAGACAAAAACAAATTATTCTTCCATCAAAACAAGACATTAAATTACTATACAATTACTTGGAAAAACAATGTAAAGCTTCTCTCCATATTTTAGAAAAGAATTTTGATTTATCAGCGTGGAAAACCTTAACTAAATGTACGTTAATATTAGTTCAAATATTTAATCGCAGAAGAGCAGGCGAAATCGAAAGACTTACAATAGCAGATTATAAAAATCAAGAAATTTTAGACAAAAATGTAAATCCAGATCTTTACGAAAAATTATCTGAAGAATCTCGACAGTATGCTAAAAAATTTGCACGAATAACTATTCGCGGCAAGTTAGGTAGAACTGTACCTGTTTTACTTAATATAATTATAATAAAATCTATAGATACAATTCTTAAATATCGAAAAAAAGCTGGAATAAAGTCTAATAATGAATACATCTTTAGCGTCCCAAATGCAAATAAATTAAAAAAGAAATATTTAAGAGCCTGTCCTCTTATAAGAAAATTTTCTCACGAATGTGGTGCAACCATTCCATCTTCTTTACGCGGAACTACTCTTCGAAAACAAATTGCTACATATACTGCAATGTTGAATATTGAAGATGCCCAAGTTGATAATCTCGCTAATTTTATGGGACATGCTAAAGAAATACACAAAAGTATTTATCGAATGCCGATTCCTATAAAAGAAATGACAGATGTATCTCGGTTATTGGAAGCTGCAATGGGAACTGATTTAGATGACAATGATAATGAAGATTGTGACAATGTCTCTGATACTGACAGTGTATCGCAAATAAGCAACAACTCCGAAGAGATCGCGCAAACAAATAATTATATTCCAGATTTCGATAATGATAATTTTGATGACAACACTATACAGCATTCTTCTGATAATCACACTACAAATAATTCACATTCTAAACATCATAATAGTGAGTCTTTTGCTTTTCCTTATACAATTTTCATTTATATTATATATATTTAGTAGGTTTTATGTGTTATATATTTCATATTAATTTTTCTAATTTCAAAATACTTATTTTTTATTTATAACAAATTAAATATCGATTCATATTTTCATTTTATTTAGATTTTCAATTTGAGAACACAAAATATAATGAAGAAAAAGAACAAATAAGTCCTAAACGTCGTAGTAGTAAGTTTTATTATATGCATTTATATTATAGAATTTTATTTCATTTTTGTAATTTTTTAAAATATATTTCTTACTTTAAGTTTTTATTATATTAATTTTTTAATTTAATTTAATTTAGCTTCTCCATATGGAAAAAAAAACGTATTAGGTGGAATGAAGAAGAAAAACAAACAATTTCTAAACATTTTGGCAACATTTTTGAATTATCAAAATTGCCATCTCTTCAAGAATGCCAAAATGTAATTAATAAATATAAAATTTTAAGAAAGAGACAACCACAACAAGTGAAAACATGGATTGATAATCAACGAAGAGCTGAAAATCGTCATAAAGCATATCAAATTTCAAAAAGATAGAAATAATCTTATATTTGCGTCCTGTTACTTATTATATTTCGTTATTAATATCATTTTTTCATTATTTTTATACTTTTTTTCTTTTATTTTTTTCTAATAAAACTTTAAACTTTTAAAACTTTAAAACTTTAAAACTTTTTTCTCTCATTCTTTCTCTCTCTCTCTCTCTCTCTCTCTCTCTCTCTCTCTTTCCCCCCCCCTCTCTCTCGCTATTTCTCTATTATTTCTATTTTATGTTCTTCCGCTCTTCCATACTTACTCTTCTTAAAATTTTCTTTTGTATTTCCTTTTGTGTTTATTTTTGCTTTTACATCTTTTTATGAAATTTTCTTTCCCTTTATTTTTATTTTCCAATTTTCCAATTTTGCATATTTATTTATTTTATTTATCTACTCAAAATTATATCTATTCTAACATCTGATTAATTCATTATAAAATGTACTCAAATTATATTAATTTTAAGAAAACTTCAAAAATATAATTATTAAATAGTTTATTAATAAGAAAATAATATGCATACTCAGAGAAAAGTTTTTACTTAATAATTAATTTTACGTATATTTAAACTAAATAAAATATTTTCACATTAAATATAAAAATATTTTAAGTGCAAAAATTTATTTTTATACAAGCAAATTTGTTGTTATATTTTTATAACATTACAATCTAACAGCATGAAATTTACATATTGTTTTATATGGTATATTGTAACATGTTTTTGCAACATTTTGCTTCAATACTGAACATTTTACATATTATATTATTTTATAATGTTATATACATTAGGTATTATACATTAGAATATTAAAAGTTTGTTTCATTTTTAATTATTTGTAAAAAAAATTTTAATTTTTTATTTATGAAGATGCTACTAACTTTTATTTATAAAACTGCAATATTTGATGTAATATTGATAAATTTTTTTTCATAATTAAATATATTTTTATTTTAAAAATTTATAATACAACGAATAATTTCGCAGCGTTAGTTTAATGATATACGTAACACTTATGTGTATTATTTAAATTTAAGTTTCAATCATTTGTATTTCTTATAATGCTTTCCTATATAATTTAAATACAAGATACTGAATAAAGGTACTACAAACAGTTTTATTATTATTTTTTCTTACAACTTCATTAACCTTTGATCTGTAAATAAAAAAAAAATTCAAAATTTTATTTGTTCTAATCGAAGAAGATACTTAAAATATATTTTTATTTAAAGTGAAATTAAGCATTAATTAATTAATTGCTATTTGTAATATAATATTAAACTAAAAATATAAAGACAACTTTAATAGTGTAGAAAGAAAAGCTCTTAAAATATATAGTTATTATATACAAAATTTAAACGCATGCTTTAAGAACAAGGTAAAAATTTTGTATATGCAAAATATATCATTCAAGAGTTCTTTCCGAAGTATTTATACTGTACAGGTTATACATATATATATATATATATATATATATATATATATATATATAATAAATAAATACTTCAGGGACAGTTCTCGAATTATACAATTCATATATACAATAGAAATTTTTACATTTAAGGTCTTCCTTATAATAAACGCATACTTTGAAGACTATTATATTATATTATAGATTTGAGGGGATACTATTGTATTTTATATTATAATAAATGAATACCCATATTTCGGAGAGAGTTGTTTATATAATTCGCATATATGATGAAAATATTTACATTGTCTCTAAAATATTTGTTTAAATTGACATTTTTCTGATAGCAATCGCATACTTAGAAGATTATATACAGAATGTTTGATAAAGATTGGACCAACGCTCATGAGTGGGTATAGAACATAGAAAATTGAACAGAAAAATCCTTTACCATTTTGTAATTTCTGCAATAATTGAAATATTAATTAAAAAGGATTAGTGAATGATTGCGCGTTTTGCGCGCCTAGACTGTGGAATGTGTCTTCTAGGACTCTAGATATGTCAGCAGGAAATGTCACATGAAAAATTTCATCGTGCATTTTTCGACTCTTGTTTTTTCATTATTGTGCAACTCATTGCTAGCACATCTAGAGAATATATATCCCATTTAGCTACGCAAAACGCGTGCTTACTTGCCGATACTTTTTAATTTATATTTTAATAGTCATTATAGAAACTGCAAAATTGTAAAAAACATTTTTGTCCAATTTATTGCGTCCCACTTACGGGCATTGATCTAATTTTTATCAAACATTCTGTATATAATCCTGTAAATATGTGGTTGCTATAAGGAAACTTTCAATTTAAATATGTATTGAAGACAATGCAAATATTTTCATCGTATAATTATGTAATTCAGGAACTCTCCTCGAATGCGTATTCGTATTATTATTATATATAAAATACAATATATTTCTCAAAGTATATAACGTAGCATAGTAGTCCTCAAAGGATGCAATTACTATAAGAAAAACTTTAAATTTAAATGCATTTGAGGATAAGGTAAAAATTTCTATTGTGTATGTAAATTGTATAATTCGAGAGCTGTCCCCGTATTTATTTATTACATATATAAAAGGGTCTTCAAAGTATGCGCTTATTATAAGGAAGACCTCAAATTTAAACGCATGCTTTGGGGACAAGGTAAAAATTTCTATTATTTATATGAATTGTCTAATGCGAGACCTGTCCCCGAAGTATTTACTTATTACATATATAAAAGGGTCTTCAAAGTATGCGCTTATTATAAGGAAGACCTCAAATTTAAACGCATGCTTTGGGGACAAGGTAAAAATTTTTATTATTTATATGAATTGTATAATGCGAGACCTGTCCCCGAAGTATTTACTTATTACATATATATAAAAGTCTCCAAAATATGCATTGTATATTAAAAGTTATGTAATTTCAGAATAATTGCCTTATAAAAAATTTGGTAATTGTGGATGTATTATTATAATTATATTGTATACAATTACGATAAAAATAAAAGATGTCTCAAATTATGCGTTTAACATACATATATATATATATACACACAAACAAATTACTTACAGAAAGGGAGTGTGCAATTTATGGAAAATATCCAAAGATGTGTGGAACCACAATCAAATATAACTTGAAATTCTTGCGGTGGAGTTCCAATTTGAATGTCGCCATAGTAAAGTATGTTTTTGTAATTGGTCAAACGTACTGAAGGAAGATTACTACCTAACGAAGGGACTTCTTGCAAGATGGTGCCAACTTTTTCCGAAGATTCTCCATCCATCTCGTGCAACGAAGTCCTTGAAATAATATAAACAACATTCTATGATATATGTATGTATTGTAAATATATATGTAAAATGAATATTTACGTTTGATATGACTAATAGATATTTTCAGAACAAATCATGAAAGTCTACACAATCTCAGAAATTAACTGTATAACTTACATATTTGCAATACAAGTACATTACGCATTTAAATATAAATATTTCAGAAATGTTTATTACTCGATGATCTTTCTAAATTGTATGAACTCATATGTATATATATATATATATATATATATATATATATATCAAAAGTAATTTTTAATTTGTACAATCCAGTTTTAAATAAAATCATTTTAATAGATATTGAATTTTAATTAATTTTGCTTGTGATTTTACATACAGAAGTAATTTAGAAACAAGTAATCAACTATTAAAAATAAAAAACGGAGAATATCAATTAAACAAATAATATAAAGCAACTCATTATATCTACAGTTAATCTGTTAACGCGTGAAAAAATAGTTTACAATTACATGTTGATGAATTCCAAGCACGATATTTATGTTAACGGTCGTCGTTTAAATAAGGATAAAGATAAGATGGACAAAAGCAAACGTTACGAGAGAACAACAAGTCACTTTTTCAAAAATATTCTTATTTTATTTACTCTTTAATTAATAAATCAAAATATACGTTTTGATCAAAGAAACTTCATCCAATTTGTATTGAAGCATTATTTGCATTTGTACAAGCCACACGTTTAATCCAAGAAGTCGGAAACGAGAAAAAATCGATTTTTCCAAGTTCGATATTTATGCCAATATAATATAATATGTACTGACCTGTTTAATTGCGCGTCAATCGTCATAAAGAGCACCGTCATTACCACAAAAAGGCGAAACATATTTCAAAATTTATTTATTGCTGATGTCTCGATTTGTGAAAATTTCAATGACGACTTTCTTTCGACACTTTATGATCTGATACGCAGAAAAATAAAGTGTTGTCGTTTACTAACTTTCCCTTAGCACTGTATTGGTATTCGATAGCGTTATGTATATATATGATCACGCGTGTCCCTCTGTTGAATGCTTGAACAGGTAGAGAAAGCGCGAAACATTCGAAAATTCCTGATAGATTTCCATCGATCAATTTAATTTAAAAATACTATATTTTGCATGAACGTGTATTTTTAATGAAGAACATTTATTTACAGAAATTCATGATTAATAATAAAAATAATTCTTTTGAAAGAATATATTATTTATATCAATCAAACAGACAATCATGCATCATTAACTTTACAATAGATAATTTGAAAAAAGTAGCATTTAATTATTCGACATTTTTTATAATTTTGTGCGGAAAAACTATATTTATATAATTATAAATCACTTTAGTTGACGAAGTTTTGAGATTTTTAAAGAAAAGAGAAAATATACATAATTTTTAAATATATATTTAAATATTCATTAATTTCTGAAATGTTGTTATTATTACGTCCAGCCGATTCCTTTCTTTCACGAAGTTGTGGCAACGATCGTTCATTTAACGATAAGCAAAATTATTGATCAAATAAAGCTTCTCGCGTTTCATAATAATCTATATTTGTCATGTAATATCTATGAGTAATCACAAAAAAACACGCAGAAATTGCTAACAATGAACACCGGTCGCTTTAACAAATAATTACTTGACGATAAAAAATACAAGCAGGGCAATAAAGAAATGTATCGATGATAAAACGACGTAGATCTCTCTGTAAATAGAAATAATATCATTTTGAAACTTATCAGGGAGAAAAATAAGAAATCGATGACGAATTTATCCAACTTAAATCGACAAATCTAATCAACAATCGCTTGTTAAATTTTACAAAATTTCAAAACCTTAGACACCTGACCAAATTTTGAATCTAAAATCTAATCGAAGGATAAAATGCGTACCAGAAAAGTAAACTGAATCGGATTTAAAAAGAGAATTTCTCAAGGTGCATCGCTCACTTCAGTCGGTCACTTCAGTCAGTCACTTCAGTCGGTTACTTCAGTCAGTCACTTCAGATCAATCAGTTCAATGAAACACATCAGATCAGTTAGTCACTTTAGATCGTCAGTTCAGTTCGTCATTGGTCTTTAGCAGTCCATACTCAGTTTGCGTGATGCGGACACAGATTTTCGGTCATCGAACAAGCGCCACAAGCGTCCCATCATCCTCGATACTGAAGGCCAGAAATCCACTAAGAGTCGCAACTTAAAGTTTTTTATTGCAAAACTGTAAGTCAATTTGATCTTTAAGTTATTTCCTTTCCTTCTTCTTTGCTTATAATTTTTTTATTTAAAAATCTGACGTTGACTCTTAGCGGAATCCTTCTTCTTCCCTTCCATTTTTTACACACATCCACAATTAATTTTGATTTGCGAAAACTAAAAATCATTGTAATCTCCGGTCAAGCATAAAGATAAAAATAGCATATAATTCAAACATACAGTATGTGTATTATATATATGTATATATAAGCATATATTACAATTAAAATTCATAAATAACAATAGCGATTTAATACTTATGATCAATTTTTAATTAAAAATTATTTTAAGTCTAATCGAAACAAACATCAGCGATAATCCGGAATAACCAGATCCAGTGGTTATTTGTTACAACATAGGTGCAAATGTTCAGTTGAAGATTGTCTATTTAGACTCCAGAAATATAGAAAAGTCATTAGGTCATTAGATCCATTCAAATTAAGTGAGATCTTGCACTTCTCCGTACATAACGCAAGAATCATACACAGTAAAAAATTTTGTGTTAAATTTAACATATTTTACATGTCACAATTTATCCACTCTAATTTTAATGTTAATTTAACAGAAGGCAAGTATGTAAATAAATAACACAAGTAATATGTTTAAAAATTAACCCAAAGTGTAACACTTAAACTTTATCTGGAAATAAAGTTTATGTTAAATTAACATATTTATAATGTTAAATTTAATTAAAAGAAAATGTTATTCTTACATTTTTATGATAAATGACAGAAGAGATATGTCGATTTAACATATGGAAATTTTTATAGATAGAAAAATAACACAACTTATCTTTTCATTTTAACATATAACATATTTTATCAAAAATTCGTGCATTTACATATTAATTGTGTTGTTTTAACTCTTAGAAACGGAATATTAACTCAACGCAGAAATGTCAAAATAACGCAACGATAATATGTTACATTAACATAAGAGTATGTTAAAAATTTAATACAAAAATTTTTACAAGAGAAAATTTTAACAGAAATACAAGATGTTTTTTACCGTGTAAATCTAGAACGCACGATGGTGATTAGTTATGTTTTAAATAATGATCTATAATTTTCTATTTAAGATTTATCGTTCTATGTGTGCAATCACTTTTACATAGGTTTTGGATTTCAGAAAGTCGAATGTGATCATGACGCGATAGATCAATTTTTATAAAATCAATATTTATTATATCAATATATGTATAATGTACACATACAATACAATGTATGAATTTAGCTTTGATTTTCCGCGTCGATCAACACCACAGTCATGTGAAAGCGGAATATGTTTTCGAAATTTCTGGCAAATTTCTTTTCGTACGTTGTAACTGAACAAAATAGCAAATTGTACTCGACTACTAAAGCTATCATTTATCGACATTTGGCAGCTGCTGTATATACAATCGCGCGCATTTGAAACATATCCGTGTTATCGATCCGTCTATCGAGCAATCAAATTTAAAAATATTTTATTTAATATTTTGTTTTTAATTAAAAAACAAAATATTAAATAAAATATTTTTAAATTTGATTGCTCGAAAACAAATTTTATTAAAATAAATTATTAAATGTGCGAGCGATTAAGAATGATAGTAAAGGAGAAATCAGCTCTTCGAAAGAATAGATTGATTATGTGGATTAGACAGCCATACAACAACAAGCTTAGCAAATGACACTGCACGCTAAAATTCCTTTTAGCGCGCAGTATCATTTGCTAAGTCCTTTTAATTAACAATAAACTTATATTAGCTGCTTTCACGATAAAAGATTGTTGTTGAAAATTAAGGCACAATTATGTACATGTTACGCAAAAATTCATATTGATAATATACAAACTTTGTCGATTGGCGAATAAAAAAGATTCAGTTTTTTTCCTATCGAAAACTAAAATTTAAAATAATAATTCAAAAAATTATTTAAACCAATAATTTAAAAAATTGATGATGAAGTATAAAATAAAAGGTGACAATGAAAGATTTCCTATACATTTCGATGAATTTTTCAACAAAGCAAATTCCACTCGGTCTTCCTCTATGTCAAACTCGGTGTAGTTACAATCAATAAATGGCGACAATGAAAGGTTTTCTATACATTTTGATGAATTTTTCGCCAAAGCAAATCCCATTCGGTGCTTTTCCATATCAAACTCGGTGTAGTAACGGCCAATAAATGGCATGCCCAGAACCCATTGTATTTTATTGTTATATGTTGGCTCATTATTTAGTTGACGTTTCCAGAAGACGGTTATACATATACTTTCATCATTTGGATGCTGAGCAGAATTAAATACATGATATAAACTTCTCTTATACATATTTGAATAATTTAAATAACACAGGCCTGCGAGGTTTTTTTTAAAGATGCAATAGTGATTTCCGACGTAATTTTGTGCGCTGAATCTGAATCTGGCCGCCGAATTTGCGTAGCACGTCACGTTTTTGAGTAATTTGTAATTGAATGGCTCAAAAATCGCTATTTTGGCCATTTTCATGAATTTATTGTGGGGAAACCAAATTTTTTTGAAATATTTCTGCCAATGACATCGTATAATACTCACTTCCGCCTTTTAAATCCACTTTCGATTACCGCTGCACGATTTTTTTTCGCTGAGATATGTAAGTATGACGTTGTAAGAAAATTTACGTTAAAGAAAATTTATATAGACATCAATATGGTAGATCCATGATTTTGAAATTTGAAAAGACTGACATATGTCAGGTTCGATTAGCCAAAAAAATTTTGTAAAGAAATGTCTAATACAGTTGTTATACATTTTGACAAATTTTTTTAAATTTTATGCCTTTTTATTGTGATTCTATTCGCCATATTGGATGTGCAATTTTTAATTTCAAAAGATGACAGAAGGTATTTAAAAATGTATATTTTTACCCTAATTTTGATTTGTAGTGAGATAGAGAAGTGGTACGGTTGATTTAGAACGGCTTATTAAATCCCTATACATGACCAGTCTTATAACTTGTATATCTGAGCGAAAAAAAATCGTGCGGCGGTAATCGAAAGTGGATTCGAAAGATGAAAATGAGTACTATACGATACCATTGACAGAAATATTTCAAAAAATTTCGTTTACTCACAATAAATTCACGAAAATGGCCAAAATAGCGATTTTTGGACTATTCAACTACAAATAACTCAAAAACCTGACGTGCTAAGCAAATTCGACGGCCAGATTCGGATTCAGCGCACAAAATTACGTCAAAAATATACTATTGCATCTTAAAAAGAAATTTTGACCCCCTTTTTTGCAGACCTGTGTAATTTTTCGAAAGCACTCACCCGAATGATGTAATCTCTACCGGTAAGATTGAACGCCTTACCACCCAAATTAAACCTGATTGTAGGCAATTGGAAAATTCGATCGCAGTCCACCTTTACATAAATAATAATATCAAGTAATTAATAATAAGTATATTCAATAATAATATCAAGTAATTAATAATAAATATGTTCAACGAAAACATGCCTTAATGTCGTTGTTCCATAAAGTTATGTTTCATTTGAACATACCTAATATTTATTTTTGTATCGCTATTATTAATTTTTTATAATTTATTTTATTTTTATCAAAGACTACGTTTTGTGAAAGATATGATTACTTGAATCGTTTACTATATCGTTTACTTACTCTTCCTTGTGAATTAGTTTCAATAAATCGATTAATAGATGAAACATCCTTTTCTGGTCCAATTATTTTCCAAGCACTTGTGTCAACGGTAGCATAGCAGCTTGCCTCGCACAAAGTAAAATTTTCATTTATTTGGATACTACAAAACGATGACGTTAACAATTTCTTGAAAGACGATTAATGTAATTTAAAAAATAACGAACCTATCAATGATAAATTGCCAGTATCCTTTGTCAGTAAATATATGTAAAACAGGAATGTATGTAAAATCCCCTTCATAACAAGCGGGATCGGAACCACCGAATATTAATTTGCCACCTAAATCGGCTGAAGTGTTTCTGCAAATTATATTTTTTATATCGCAATATGTATATGTATATGTGTTATAATTAAAATTAAGTTTATTTAATTTGCAGATATAAATATTACTTTAATTTGAAAAATTATAATACTATATATAAATAATAAATTTAATTTATGTTTATATTAAAATAAATTTATATATAAAATAAATATAAATATATATACAAAGAGAACTGTATGTTTATTAAATATTCATTTTCTATAGATATATGTTGTTCATAACAATGAATCATAAATATGTTGTTCATAGAGAAGATATGTACAATATGTACAATAGTGTATGTGTGAGATAATTAAGATTAAATTTAATATAATTAATATTAAATATAAATATTATTTTAATTTAAAAATTATAATATTATATATAAATAATAAATTTAATTTATGTTAATATTAAAATAAATATGAAATAAATATAATATATACAAATAGAAATGTATGTTTATTAAAAACTCTTGTCTATAGGTATATGTGGTTCGTAAGTAGAGAAGATGTACCTATTTAGATAAAAACTGAAAATACGTGATGACACTAGACCTTGTTCAATCATATTGTCAAAGATAGGCGTTACTCTATCATCATATGTATTAAAAGATCTCAGGCCAATGATACCATCAAATGTTCGTATAGCACACATACTTTTGTTTGTATCAATATCATCCAATATGTATACCGCTTCTAGAAATGTTTGATTTTTGACACTGAGGTTGGCAACCTATAATAAAATTGCTATTGAAATAATACATCGTTATTGCCGACGGAAATAAAGAATATGATTGCTTAAGACATATTTAAACTACGATTATAGTTATAATTAAATTGAATTGTTTATTTAATAATGACTTACATGCACTGTGTCAGCAGCTAAGATGCCTTCTACTTCGAAACATTTATATGATAAACAAATACCTTTACTTTTTATATCATTGTATGTTTTGGATCTTGTTTTATCATATTTATGTCTTGCTATAAAGCATATCAAATATAATCGAAAATCAGCAAAGTTACAAAGATTTAAAAAATATATACAGGGTGGGGAAAAAGTATGGAAGCAAACAATTATTTCCGAAACTATTCATTTTTCGACAAAATGTCTTAGACATAATTTTTATGGTATAAAAAGATGTATTATGTGGCATAGACGGCATGACCTTGAAATGACCCTTACGAGCTGCATACAAATAACGTAAAAAATTTCAAATGGAACTCGTCAGTTTTTGTTACAGATTCTTGTAGCTGATGTCGAAACGTTTAAAACACTGCACATATGAGCCCCATTCCCTTAAAAACACTCCCAGTTACGAAACAATTGTGATACAAACAATTTGTATGCACATTGACATTGCTTACTGATTTCGCATCATGACGTTCAGTTGCGTCCACTAATAACATGTAATTGTACCTGTTGTCATATGATACACTGTCTATGAGTATTCATAGAATTTTTTTGATTTCTTGATCATCGCTACCTTATTTATTATTATCATTTATTTTATCCTTAAAAAAGTAGTGTCAATTGGCATACAAGTTTCGGATATTGTGTTTTGAAAATTTGCTATTTTTATCGTTTTCTATCATAGGAATTGTTACTGATTTCCATTTCTGTAATTTCAAATGTTATTTTCACGATGGCCCGATTAAGAGAACGAGAGCGAATATCGCTGTTGATGATGCGTGGTTGGGGTGAGAATGAAAGAACTCACGATGAAGTTACAGTTTTGTTTAATGAAACTTTTCGAATCGGACAACCGGGCATAGTAAGATCTACCGTTGCTAAGACAATTCAACGATTTAATGAAACAGGTTCCGTAAAGGATAAGCCAAAAGTAGGAAATACGAATTATCACAATTGTTTCGTAACTGGGAGTGTTTTTAAGGGAATGGGGCTCATATGCAGTGTTTTGTAAACGTTTCGACATCAGCTACAAGAATCTGTAACAAAAACTGACGAGTTTCATTTGAAATTTTTTACGTTATTTGTATGCAGCTCGTAAGGATCATTTCAAGGTCATGCCGTCTATGCCACATAATACATCTTTTCATACCATAAAAATTATGTCTAAAACATTTTGTCGAAAAATGAATAGTTTCGGAAATAATTGTTTGCTTCCATACTTTTTCCCCATCCTGTATAAAGGTATTGTATTATAAATTTATTAAATATATATATACATATAATATTCTTTTATAAATAATTGCATATGTAAATGTATTTGTCGAATTAATTCATAAAACATCTGTGTTTATCAAAGCTTGATTGTATAATCTCCAGAGTGAATGTGATAAATTATTTAAATTAATTTATATATTTCCAAATTCCAAAGTTTGCCATTGCAATATTTACACTATAATATTAAATATTACTATAAAATTAAGTAAATAGATATCTGTATTATATTCAACTTTTTAAATATCGCAAGATTATGCTTGAAAAATGTAATTGCAGATAGATTATACAATATTAAATTTATTCAATAAATGACAATTCAAACAAACACACACACACACACACACACACACACATATATACATATATTTATTTATTTATTTATTCATATTTATTATTAGATATATGTACTTACAAACAAATTACTTACAACAAATAGGGTTTGTGCATTTTTCGGAGAATACCCAAAAATTTGCGGAACGACTGTCAAATATCACTTTAAATTCTTGCTGTGGAGTTCCAATTTTAATACAGCCATAGTAATTTACATTTTTGAAATTAGTCAAACGTACTGAAGGAAGATTATCATTTAACGAAAGAATTTCTTGCACGTTGGTGCCAATGTTTTTCGAAGATTCTCGAGTGGAATCCATCTTATGCGATAAAGTCCTTGAAATAACATAAACAACATTCTATGATATATGTATGTATGATACACACACACACACACACACACACACACACATATATATATATAATATAAATATATATGTATAAAATGGATATTCACATTTGATATAGAAACAAATATTTTCAGAATAATTTCGATATTTATCATGCCAATATACAATATAATAAAATATATACTGACCTATGTAATTCTGCGTCAGTCGTCATCAAGAGCACTGTCACTATCGTAAAAAGGCGAAACATATATCAAAATTTATTTACTACTGAAGTCTCGCATCGTGAAAATTTCAATGTCGAGTTTCTTTTGATACCTTCTGACGGAACATACAGAAAAGTAAAGTGTTGTCGTTCACTAACACACCTCTTAATACTGTATCGGCATTCGACAGCTTTATATACGCGCGTGTCCCTCTGTTAAATGCTTGAATGGGGAGAGAGCGCGCGAAACATTCGAAAAATCCTAGATTTCCATCTATCAATTTAATTTAATGTTGCAAAATCAGTAAGCGGTATCTTAGACCATTATAATCCTCGTGTCGTTCTATTCTAATAAGAGTCATCCGATGATACTTATTATGAAAGTGTCGAAAGACGAAATATAAATATATAATATCTAATAATATTAAGCAAAATTATTTACAAGCAATATTATATTGTATCTTAGATGACGGAAAAGAAGTTGAAACATTTTGTAAAAAGACAATTTTAATTAAATAAGAACCGAAGCTTCATGCAACTATATTCTTTCTTAATAAATTGTACTTCTAATGAAAAACTGCATCGAAAGTTATTTCATGACTGGGCCAAAACTTGAATATATGAATAGAAATAAATATGAATAAAAATATGTATAGTCTGATCGCACTGCATGTTATAGCAATGTACTCTAAAATTAAAAATATTTTACTAAACGAAAAATGTATAAACAATGTACTGTTATTATTTTTAGAGCTGCCATTTACAGGCCATTACGATTGAATTTTCACGCCAAAACAGACTCAACTGCTACAGGAAATCAGTATCATCTTCGCTGTAAGAAATTATTTTTGAAATTCGCACGAAATATTTCCTTCCGATCATGATCTGATTTCAGATTTCCGAAAATAATATTATTTCTGTGAAAGGACGTTATTTCTTTTTATGTAATTAAAAGATTACGATATTGAAAGCAAAATTGAAGTAATTTATATGAATGTTTTTTCACACTTCTTTGATTTACCTGTAAAATTTTTTCATCTTATTATTTTTATTAATATCCATACAAAATAAATAGCAAATAAAAATCGTTCGTAATAAATACTTTTTCACGCTGTTAATATTCAACAATAATCTGAACAACTCGAATATGAGGTCAATCCTTCCGAGCTCTTTAACGAATTTTATTTTATTCGTCCAAAACATCGAAAGACGCTGCTGAATCGCCCGCTAATTGTACTAATTCCGAAATTTTCATAGCATCTATTAATCAAGAACAAAGAAAATGTCAATTTTTTTTTCAATCTTCCTCGCAGTTCATTCCTGTATTCTCGATTTACGCAAGAATTTGAATCGAGAGAAGATGACACCGAAATATTATTTTTAATTGCATGACAGCGGGATATATAATATTATCGCAATTTTATCACTGCAATTTCTAGGGATTAATATGATATAGTAAATTGTAATTAGGAAAATCGCGCTTGTCGTATCGAACACCATTATGCATTTATAAGAGCACACGGGATAATACAGATAAAATCAGGTCGATAAGTCGACGATGCGGTTCGGAAATATTTTAGATCGCAGCGAGATTATCTTAAAGCGGTGACAGCGAGCTGTTCTCTCACTGAAAGAAAGCATATCGCGTACGAAAATGTAGGGAGTGAAACGGGAAAAACCTTCGATATTCTCTTTTCATAAAATTTTTTATTTACGAGAGAACTTGAAGATTAATTTTAGTGGATCTAGAGTAACCTTGCACCTTTAATTCTTATTAAATCAAGCAAAGAGAAAATGATTTTTACAACATTACCATACAATTAAAAACTTTTATTGCTCATGCATTTATCGCACTGCACGAATAGCCTTCTACTTAGAATTTAACGGTGTTTTATTAACACAATCACATTTACATAGGTTTTGGATTTCAGAAAGTCGAATGTGATCACGACGAAGTAGATCGATTTTTATAAAATTAATATTTATTATATCAATATATAACGTATACATATAATATAATGTATGAATTTAGGTTTAAATATCTGTGTCGATCAACATTACAATCACCACGAGAAAGCGGAATATGTTTTCGAAATTTCTGTCAAATTTCTTTCCGTACGTTGCAACAGGACATACAAAAATAAATTGTACTCGAATTGTACTATTAGAGTTATCATTTATCGACATTTAGCAGCTGTTATATATACAATCGCGCGCATTCGAAACATATCCGTGTTATCGACGCGTCCTATCGATTAATCAAATTTAAAAATATTTTATTTAATATTTTGTTTTATAACTAAAACAAATTCTATTAAAATAAATTAATAAATGTGTGAATGATTAAGAATCACAATGAAGGAAACATCAGCGTTTCGAAAGAATAGATAGACTGATAGAGACTGACTATATCTTGCTGATAATATATATAATATATATAAAGATAGACTGATTATATCGACTAGATAGTCATGCAACAATGAATTTAGCAAATGACACCGCGCAAAAATTCGCTTCTAATTAGGAATAAGCTTATTTCAGCTGCTTTTACGATAAAGGATTCCTGTTGAAAATTAAAGCACAATTAAGTACATATTACGCAAAAATTTACATTGATAATATGCTAACCTTGTAGCTTGTGTTTTGGCGAATAAAAAACATACAGTTTTTTTTCTATCGAAAACTAAACCAATAATTTAAAAATTTGATGATGAAGTATACAATAAAAGGTGACAAAGAAATATTTTCTATATGTTTGGATGAATTTTTCGCCAAAGCAAATCCCACTCGGTCTTTCTCTATGTCAAACTCGGTGTAGTTACTATCAATAAATGGTGACAAAGAAATATTTTCTATATGTTTCGATTAATGTTTCGCCAAAGCAAATCCTACTCGGTCCTTCTCCATATCAAACTCGGTGTAGTAACGTCCAATAAATGGAATACCCAGAACCCATTTTTTATTTTCAACTATGTCTTGTTTGTAGAAGATGGTTATACATATACTTTCATTATCTGGATGCTGAACAGAATTAAATACACAAGATAAACTTCTCTTATACATATTTAAATAATTTAAATAATTTGTCTGTAGCACTCACCCGAATGATATAATCTTTACCGTCAAGATCAAATGATTTACCACCCAAAATAAACCTGATTGTAGGCAATTGAAAAATTCGATCGCAGTTCACCTTTAAATAAATAATTAAAATTAAAATAGTTTAAATAAATAATAATTTTAATAATTAATTATAATTTAATATTATATATGTTCAACGGAAACAAGGCTTAATGTCATTATTCCATAGAAGTTTATGTTTCATTTGGACGTACCTAATACTTACACTTTTCATCGCTTTTTCAATTTCTTATAATTTTTTCATCAAAGGCTACGTGCTTTCTGAAAGATATGATTACTTGAAAAATATCGTTTACTTACTATTCCTTGTGGATTAGTTTCAGTAAAATCATAAATATTTGAAATATCTGATTGTGGTCCAGTTATTTGCCAAGCACTTGTATCAATGATAGCTATGCAGCTTTCCTCGCACAAAGTAAAATCATTCATTTGGATACTACAAAGCGATGACGTTAACAATTTGTTGAAACATGGTTAATGTAATTTAAAAAATAACGTACCCATTAATGGTAAATTGCCAGTATTGTTTGCGAGCAACAGGAACATATGTAAAATTTCCTTCGTAATAAGCAGGATCGGAACCACCGAATATCAATTTGCCACCTAAATCAGCTGAAGTGTCTCTGCAAATTATATTTTTTATATCGTAATATATATATATACATAAGGTGTCCCAAAAGTCCCGAAACGCTCGATTATTTCATTAACTATGTACTTTAGAAAGACATGTTTCAGACAAAAATTGTATAGCTTGAAGGTGGTCATAAGATGTTGTCATTTAACATCTCCAACTTTTTAAATAGGACATTGTATACCCTTTTTCTTATTCTTGTAGCTTATCTCGAGAGCTTTCCAAATACTATAATTAAGTTAGTTTTCATTAAGTACTTTCCGAGTTATGAGGCTTGAAATCATTTCTTAATTTTAAATATACTGTAAAATAATTGGAAAGCTCTTGATGTAAGCTATCAGAATATTCAATAAAAAATAAATAGTTCCATTTAAAAAATTGAAAATGATCTTTACATGATCTTCAAAAAACTTTTTAAGGTCAAAGTAATGACACCATCTTATGGCCTCCTTTAAACCATACAATTTTTTTCTGAAACATTTCTTTCTAAAATGCTAGTTTATAAAATATTTGACCTTTCCGGACTTTTGGGACACCTTATGTGTGTGTGTGTGTGTGTGTGTGTGCGTGGGCGCGCGCACGCACACACACACACACACACACACACACAGGGTGTCCCAAAAGTACCGGAACGGGATATATATATATACAGGGTCTACCAAAAGTGTGGAAACCCCTAAATATCTCGAAAAATATACGTTTTACAGAAAAGTGTTTCCAACAAAAGTTGTAGGGTTTAAGAAGATCTATATACTGATTCTATCAGTTTGACCTTGGATGGCGTCGTCAAGGTCAGGTCAAGGTCACATTGACTTTTTTAAATGACACCCCCTACATTTGATTGCATATTCTTATAGCTTAATTCAAGAGCTTTCCAAAACACTATAATAATGTTCATTTTTATTAAGTACTTTGCGAGTTATGAGGGTTGAAATAATTTCTTAATTTTACATAAACCATAAAATATCTAATAAACCATTCATTTTTCGATTATCTTACCTTCATACTTTTATGTACAAATTAATGAGAGGAATCAATTGGTGTAAAGAAAACACATAGTTGTTTCTAAGAAAAAATATGTAATTTGCAATTAACAATTCCATATTTTTTCTTAAAAACAACTGTATGTTTTCTTTACACCAATTGATTCCTTTCATTATTTTGTACATAAAAGTATGAAGGTAAGATAATCGAAAAATGAATGGTTTACTAGATATTTTATGGTTTATGTAAAATTAAGAAATTATTTCAACCCTCATAACTCGCAAAGTACTTAATAAAAATGAACATTATTATAGTGTTTTGGAAAGCTCTTGAATTAAGCTATAAGAATATGCAATCAAATGTAGGGGGTGTCATTTAAAAAAGTCAATGTGACCTTGACCTGACCTTGACGACGCCATCCAAGGTCAAACTGATAGAATCAGTATATAGATCTTCTTAAACCCTACAACTTTTGTTGGAAACACTTTTCTGTAAAACGTATATTTTCCGAGATATTTAGGGGTTTCCACACTTTTGGTAGACCCTGTATATATATATATATATATATATATATATATATATATATATATATATATATATGGGGCGTTCCACGCCAAATCGGACACCATTTAGCTTTTGCATCGCCGATTTTTTTGAAAATTTTTTATGTTTTAGTATTGGTTGAAAGAGGCCTCCATGATTTTTTTCAATTTTTTTTGTCGAATCGTTTTCAAGATATCGATTTTTCAAAAATTACGTTACTTTTTCTTTAGACGTCCATAAGTTTGCGAAAAATGGGCCAAATGGGACGTTTTTTTTTTTGAAATTTTTCTTTTTAAACGCACTTTTGATAAAAAATATCGAAAAAATTTTTCAAACCGTATTTCTATAAGATTTTCAAGTTTTAAATATAAATTGTTGATTTACCAAAAACACGTACTGATCGATTTTCTTAAAAATTTTTTGTAAAAAACTGTCATTCATTCCACAACTTTTAAGCCTAAGTAGATAATGGGATAACGATGGGATCTATTTTTTTTCGATTTTTTTATTTCCATATTTTAATTATCCGTGTTAAAAATAAATATTAATCTTTTTTTCAGGCTCACCGGCAACGGTCATTCTTATTTATTAAATAAAATAGATATACCTTAATCATTTAATGAACGATAACCGATAATTTTTATTTGAATAAACCACAATATATACAAATTTCAACTCTTCAACAATTATATGACTGGGCAATAAAACCAAATTCTTTGCCAAATATTTATGTTCAATTCTTCTCTAACGAAGAATACATTCGAGCCAAAGAATCATTAGAGAAACGATATATGAGAGCAAAGACAATAACAGGGACGCAAAAATATCATTGTGTAATTCCAGACGGAGAAGACACTTTGAGATTGAAAGAATTTTCGTTATCTGTTGAATCTCGAATTTATAAAATATTTAAATGTGTGAGAAAATAAATGCTAAATAAAATAAATGCTGAATAAAAAAAACTTTATCAAGCATAATAAGTACTTTATTTCGCCTGTATCTTTTTCCTGAAATCAATCTGTGAACTAATTAATAATCACTATGTGTCAGATAATTATTAATAGTAGCTCCTATATAGTATTTTTTTTCAGATATTTTTCAACAAGGATAACTTAAATATGGAAATAGAAAAATCGAAAAAAAATAGATCCCATCGTTATCCCATTATCTACTTAGGCTTAAAAGTTGTGGAATGAATGACAGTTTTTTACAAAAAATTTTTAAGAAAATCGATCAGTACGTGTTTTTGGTAAATCAACAATTTATATTTAAAACTTGAAAATCTTATAGAAATACGGTTTGAAAAATTTTTTCGATATTTTTTATCAAAAGTGCGTTTAAAAAGAAAAATTTCAAAAAAAAAAACGTCCCATTTGACCAATTTTTCGCAAACTTATGGACGTCTAAAAAAAAAGTAACATAATTTTTGAAAAATCAATATCATGAAAACCATTCGACAAAAAAAATTGAAAAAAATCATGGAGACCTCTTTCAACCAATACTAAAACATAAAAAATTTTCAAAAAAATCGGCGATGCAAAAGCTAAATGGTGTCCGATTTGGCGTGGAACGCCCCATATATATATATATATATCTGTGATAATTAAAATTAAATTATATTTGATGTGCAAATATAAATATTATTTTAATTTATAAATATATAATAATTTATATATATTATTATAATAAATTTAATTTATGTTAATATTAAAATAAATATAAACGTATACAAATGTACATATATATATCCAATTCATATGTATTAAAAATTCTCGTTTAAAGATATAAGTTGTTCATACAGATAGAGAAGATATGTACCTATTTAGATAAAAACTGAAAATGCGTGATAACACTAGACCTTGTTCAATCATGTTGTCAAAGAGAAGCGTTACTCCATTACCATATATATTTAAAGAATTCAGGCCAAAGGTACCATCAAATGTTGGTTCAGACAATACATTCTTGATTGATACATTTACCGCTTCTAAAAATCTTTGATTCGTTGCATTGAAATTGGCAATCTATAATAAAATTGGTATTAAAAAAATACATCGTTATTGCCGCGGGAAAAAAGGAATATATGATTGCTTAAAACATAAACTAAAATTACGATTACAGTTACAAATAAATTGGATTGTTTGTTTAATAATGACTTACATTCACTGTATCAATAGCTACGCTTCCTTTTACATAGAAATATTTATATGATGAATAAAAATCTGTATAATAAGGATTTTTACTATTTCTTATATCATTGTATGTTTTGGATCTTGTACTATCATATTGATTATGTTTTGCTGTAAAGTATATCAATTTGTAAAACATATATAATATAATCAAAAATAACAAAGTTACAAAGATTAAAAAATATGTATAGAGATATTGTATTATTAATTTATTAAACATATATATATATATATATATATATATATATATATATTAGTAATAAATGACAAATAAAAATATATATTATTTATTTAATAAATAACAAATATATATATATATATATATATATATATATATATATATTCGCGGATTTAGAACTTAAAGTTTAAGCTTATTTAAAAAAACCGTTCTTTTAAACAAAATTTACTTGATAAATGACAAATAAAAATACACACAAACACACACACACACAAATACACACACAACACACACACATATATATACTATTGAGTATACAGAAAAACAAACAAATTACTTACAACAAACAGAGATTGTGCATTTTTTAGAGAACAGCCAAAAATCTGCGGAATCAGTGTCAAATATCACTTTAAATTCTTGCTGTGGAGTTCCAATTTTAATAGAGCCATAGTAATACACGTTTTTAAAATTGGTCAAACGTACTGAAGGAAGATTATTACTTAACGAAAGAATTTCGTGCACGTTGGTACCAAGTTTATTTTTTTTCGAAGATTCTTGAATAGAATTTACATTGTGAGGTAAAGTCCTTAAAATAACATAAACAACATTCTATGATATATGTATGTATGATATATATATATATATATATATATATATATTTTTTTTTTTTGCAAATATATATGTATAAAATAAATATTCACATTTGATATGACTAACAGATATTTTCAGAACAAATATAAGTCATAAAAGTCTACACAAATTGGAACGTCTTAGAAATCAACTATAACTTACATATTTACAATATATAAATATATATTACGCATTTAAATATAAATATAAATGTCTATTAACTCGATGATCTTCATAAATTATATGATCTTCGTATATATATTTCAAAAGTAATATTTAATTTGTAATCTTTGTAATTTGTAGTTTTTAAATAGATTATTATAATTAACATTGCTCTTTAATTAACAATAATTTCCATTTGTAATTTTATGCATAGAAACAATTAAAACAAATAACCGTTTCAATTATTAAAAATAGGATATAGAGAACATCAATTAAACAAATGGTACAAAACAAGTCATTATTGCTACAGTTGATCTGCTAACGGGTGAAAAAATAATTTAGAAAATAATTTAGATGTTTTTGATGACTTACAAACACAGTATTTATATTAACGGTCATCGTTTAAATGTAGATAAATCAGTCTAGATAATTCAGTGTAAATAAGTCCAAGATAGACAAAAGCAAACGTTACGAAAGAACAATGAGCACTTTTTCAAAGATATTATTTCATTTACTCTTTGATTAATAAATAAAGATATATGTTTTCACTAAACAAATTTCATTCAATTTGTATAGAAGCATTAATTGCATTCGCACAAATGACGCGTTTAATACAAGAATTCGGATGCGAGAAAAATAATCGATTTTTAAATTTTCGATATTTAACATTCGAATATAAAATATAATAAAATATATACTGACTTGTGCAATTGCGCGTCGTCTGTCGTCATAAAGAGCACTGTCATTACCGCAAAAAGGCGAAACATATTTCAAAATTTATTTATTACTGAAGTCTCGATTCGTGAAAATTTCAATCTCGACCTTCTTTCGACTTTATAACAGGACACACAGAAAAATAAAGTGTTGTCGCTCACTAACACTCTTCTTAATACTGTATCGGTTTTCGATAGCTTTATATATATGATCGAGCGTGGCCCTCTGTTGAATGCTTGAATGGGGAGAGAACGCGCGAAACTTTCGAAAAATTCTAGTAGATATCCATCGATCAATTTAATTTAATGTTACAAAATCAGTCGGCGGTGTCTTAGATCCTTATAATCCTTGTTATTCTATTCTAATAAGAGTCAACCGATGACACTTGTTATGAAAATGTCGAAAAACGAAATATAAATATATAATATCTAATAATATTATACAAAATTATTTTACAAGCAATATTATATTATATCTTAGATGACGGAAGAGAAGTTGAAATAATTGATAAAAAGACAATTTTAATTACATAAGGACGAAAGACTTCGTGCTACTGCAATATTACTATATTTCTTAATAAATTGTACTTCTAATGAAAAACCACATCGAAAGTTATTTCACTAGGCCAAAACTTGTATGTATGAATAGAAATAAATATGAATAAAAATATGTATAGTCTGATGGCGCTACATGTTTTAGCAAAGTACTCTAAAATTAAAAATATTTTAGTAAACGAAAAATGTACAATTTATTGTTATGGTTTTTAGAGCTGCCATTTACAGGTCATTACGATTGAATTTTCACGCCAAAACACACTCAGCCGCTATAAGAAATCAGTGTCATTGAACGTAATCGCGAATATCGGAATCATAAATGAGCTGTGTCACTTCTCTAAGCTAAAAGAATACGATATTTTATTCATTCTGCATGTATAAGAGGCGTCGATCTTCCTACTCGTTCGATTCTTCTGCAATTCCTCGTGTTCTCCCAATGACGTCAGGATTTTTGCTCTCTTGATATCGCGGACCGAAAATGCCCGAGCCGCCTATCTGTTTCTATCTCTAACTCAAGTGCTTGGCTGTCTATTTCTAGAAAAATATTTTAAATGCTCGGTCACATTTTCTACTATCCTTGCCAAGACAATCATCCTCGCTGTAAGAAATTATTTTTGAAGTTCGCACGAAAGATTTCCTTCCGGTCACGATCCGATTTAAGATTTCCGAAAATAATTTTTTTTCTGTGAAAAGACGTTATTTCTTTTTATGTAATTAAAAGATTATGATATTGAAAGCAAAATTGAAGTAATTTATATGAATGTTTATTCGCACTTCCTTCATTTACCTATAAAATTTTATCATCTTATTATTTTTATCAACATCCATACAAAATAAATAGTAAATAATAATTCAATTATTTAAACACAATGTAGGCTATAAAACCTACATTGTGTTTAAATAATTGAATTATTATTTACTATTTATGTTGTATGGATGTTGATTTAAACACAATGTAGGCTATAAAGACGTCTTTATCCGTTATTTCGAAATTTGCTGACATAATGTACATCGACGACTTCGTAGCTTTTTTTGCTTTTTCGCCTATTTACATGTTTTTCTTTTGCGTTCCTTGGTATTGATAATGATCTGGAGCAGATCGAAACGTTTGCCCTCTTTTGTTTTTAAAATAAATAATTTTTTTGTGATTTCTCTTAAATTGTTTCTGATCTAAATTTATATTGCCATATAATTGATTAATTTGCGTTATAGATCTGCGCTTAGAGGTTTTATAGCCTACATTGTGTTTAAATAATTGAATGTTTTCTTTATGATACCACTATGTTTTAATTCTAATTGTAAATAATAATCGTTCGATAATAAATACTTTTTCACGCTGTTAATAATCAACAATAATCTGAAAAAACTCGAATATGAGGTCAATTCTTACAAGCTCTTTAACAAAGTTTATCTTCTTCGTCCAAAAAGTTGAAAGGCGCTGCTGAATCGCCCGTTAATTATACTAATTCCGAAATTTTCATAGCATCTATTAATCAAGAACAGAGAAAATGTCAATTTTTTTTCCAATCTTCCTTCGTAGTCCATTCTTGTACTCTCGATTTACGCAAAAATTTGAATCGAGAGAAGATGACACCGAAATATTATTTTTAATTGCATGACAGTGGGATATATTATCGCATTTTTATCACTGCAATCTCTAGAGATTAATATGATATAGTAAATTGTGATCAGTAAAACGCACTTGTCGTGTCGAACAGCACCATTATGCATTTAAGAGCACATAACGCAATGGATAATATAGATAAAATCAGGACGATAAGTCGATGATTTGATGCGGTTCGGAAATATTTTAGATCGCAGCGAGATTATCTTAAAGCGGTGACAGCGAGCTGTTCTCTCACTGAAAGAAAGCATATCGCGTACGAAAATGTAGTGAAACGGGAAAAACCTTCGACATTCTCTTTTCATAAAATTCTTTATTTACGAGAGAGCTTGAAAATTAATTTTAGTGGATCTAGAGTAACCTTGCACCTTTAATTCTTATTAAATCAAGCGAAGAGAAAATGATTTTTACAACATTACCATACAATTAAAAACTTTTATTGCTCTTGCATTTATCGCACTGCACGAATAGCCTTCTACTTAGAATTTAACGGTGTTTCATTAACACAATCACATTTACATAGGTTTTGGATTTCAGAAAGTCGAATGTGATCACGACGAAGTAGATCGATTTTTATAAAATCAATATTTATTATATCAATATATAACGTATACATATAATACAATGTATGAATTTAGGTTTAGATATCCGTGTCGATTAACATTACAATCACCACGAGAAAGCGGAATATGTTTTCGAAATTTCTGACAAATTTCTTTCCGTACGTTGCAACAGGACATACAAAAAATAAATGTTGTAAAATAAATATTGTACTCGAATTGTACTATTAGAGTTATCATTTATCCACATTTAGCAGCTGTTATACAATCGCGTGCATTCGAGACATATACATGTAATCGAGGCGTCCTATCCTCTCGATTAATCAAATTTAAAAATATTTTATTTAATATTTTGTTTTATAACTAAAACAAATTGTATTAAAATAAATTATTAAATGTGTGAATGATTAAGAATGACGGAAACATAAGCGCTCCGAAAGAATAGATAGTCTGATAAAGACTGATTATATCTTACTGATAATACATATAATATATATAAAGATAGATTGATTATATCGACTAGATAGTCATGCAACAATGAATTTAGCAAATGACACTGCGCAAAAATTCGCTTCTAATTAGCAATAAGCTTATTTCAGCTACTTGTACGATAAAGGATTGCTGTTGAAAATTAAGGCACAATATACATATTATGCAAAAATTGACATTGATAATATGCTAACCTTGTATCTTGTGTTTTGGCGAATAAAAAACATTCAGTATTTTTCCTATCGAAAACTAAACCAATAATTTAAAAATTTGATGATAAAGTATACAATAAAAAGTGACAATGAATGATTTTCTATACATTTCGATGAATTTTTCGACAAAGCAAATCCCATTCGATCTTTCTCTATGTCAAACTCAATGTAGTTACGATCAATAAATGGTGACGAAGAAATATATTTTATATATGTTTAGATGAATTTTTCGCCAAAGCAAATCCCACTCGGTTTTTCTCCATATCAAACTCGGTGTAGTAACGGCCAATAAATGGAATACCCAGAATCCAGAATTTTTTAAATACGTTTTGTTTATAGAAGATGGTTATACATATACTTTCATTATCTGGGTGCTGAGCAGAATTAAATACACAAGATAAACTTCTCTTATATGTATTTAAATAATTTAAGTAATTTGTCTCTAGCACTCACCTGAATGATGTAATCTTTACCGGTAAGATTGAATGCTTTACCATCCAAAATAAAACTGATTGTAGGCAATTGATCAATTAGATCGCAGTTCACCTTTAAATAAATAATTAAAATTAAAATAGTTTAAATAAATAATAATTTTAGTAATTAATTATAATTTAATATTAAATATGTTCAACGGAAAGAAGGCTTAATGTCGTTGTTCCATAGAAGTTTATGTTTCATTTGGACGTATTTAATACTTACACTTTTTATCGCTATTTCAATTTCTTATAATTTTTTTATCAAAGATTACGTGCTTTGTAAAAAATATAATTACTAGAAAGACATCGTTTACTTACTATTCCTTGTGAATTAGTTTCAGTAAAATCATAAATATTTGAAATATCTAATACTGGTCCAGTTATTTTCCAAGCACTTGAATCAACGATAGCTAGGCAGCTTTCCTCGCACAAAGTAAAATCATTTATTTGGATGCTACAAAGCAAAGACGTAAACAATTTGTTGAAACAATTGATTAATGTAATTTGAAAAATACCATACCTATCTAAGGTTAATTGCCAGTGTCGCTTGTTAATAACAGGATTATATGTATAATTAGTAACAGGAACATATATAAAATCCCCTTCGTAAAAAGCAGGATGGGAACCACCGAATATCAATTTCCCACCTAAATCGGCTGAAGTGTCTCTGCAAATTATATTTTTTATATCGTAGTATATACATATATATATATATATATATATATATATATATATATATATATACGAGGTGTGTTCAAAAAAAAAGGTGACTTTTTATTTTTCTCGAAAAATATTTATTTATTCATCAATATTTATTTTGTCCCCTTCAAAGTAATCCCCCTCAGATATTATACACTTGTGCCAGCGCTTTTTTCAATCCTCGAAGCACTTTTGATATGCGCTTTTTGGTATGGTCTCGAGCTCTTCCAGCGATGCGGTCTTTATCTCCTGTATTAAATTTTGTGTGAAAAATAAAATTAAGTGCTCTGACGTACTTGAAATGTTGACTGCGGCATTTGGCGAGTTTACTCTGAGCAAAAAAAATGTTTACAAGTGGTACAAGCTCTTCACAGAAGGTCGAGAAGATGTTAATGACGATGCCCGCCCTGGACGCCCCAGCACGTCAACAACCGATGACAACGTCAAAGCAGTGAAGAAAATTGTTATGGAGAATCGTCGAATCACTATTAGAGAAGTTGCTGAGGATGTCGGCATATCGGTTGGCTCATGCCATGCAATTTTTTCGGGTGTTTTGGGCATGCAACGTGTGGCGGCGAAGTTTGTTCCGAAATTGCTGAATTTTGACCAAAAACAACGTCGCGTAGACATTGCTCAGGAGCTGTTGAATGCCGTCAACGACGATCCAGATTTGCTCAAAAGGGTCATAACTGGTGACGAATCATGGGTATATGGCTATGACGTCGAAAGCAAAGCCCAATGGAAGCGGCCAGAAGAACCAAGACCGAAAAAAGCTCGTCAAGTTAGGTCAAATGTGAAGGTTTTGCTCACTGTTTTCTTCGATTACAATGGCGTGGTGCATCGTGAGTTCTTGCCATGCGGTCGTACGATCAATAAGGAATATTACCTTGAAGTTATGCGCCGTTTACGTGAAGCAATACGAAAAAAACGCCCGGAATTGTGATAATGCGCCAGCTAACACGTCGTTGCTTATTCATGACTTTTTGGCCAAAGTCAACACCGTAACCATGCCTCAGCCACCGTATTCACCGGACTTGACCCCCTGCGACTTTTTCTTGTTCCCAAAATTGAAAAGACCCATGAAAGGACGGAGATTTGCCACGATTGAGGAGATAAAGACCGCATCGCTGGAAGAGCTCGAGATCATACCAAAAAGCGCATATCAAAAGTGCTTCGAGGATTGGAAAAAGCGCTGGCACAAGTGTATAATATCTTAGGGGGATTACTTTGAAGGGGACAAAATAGATATTGATGTATAAATAAATATTTTTCGAGAAAAATAAAAAGTCACCTTTTTTTTTGAACACACCTCGTACGTTGTTCATATAGGTAGAGAAGATATGTACCTATTTAGATAAAAACTGAAAATGCGTGATGACACCAGACCTTGTTCAATCATGTTATCAAAAAGAGGCGTTATTCTGTTATTAAATGTATCAAGAGATCTCAGGCCAAAGATACCATCAAATGTTCGTACACACATATTTTCGATTGACTCAATATTGTCAAGTATGTGTATCGCTTCTAGAAATGTTTGATTCTCTATATTGAGGTTGGCAACCTATAATAAAATTGTTATTAAAATAATACATCGTTATTGCCGCGGGAAAAAAGGAATATATAATTGTTTCAAACATATTTGAACTACGATTGTAATTATAAATAAATTGGATTGTTTGTTTAATAATGACTTACATTCACTGTATCAATTGCTACGTTTCCTTCTACATAAAAATATTTGATATATGATGAATAATAATTTGAATAATTACAATTTTTATTATTTCCTATATCATTGTACGTTTTGGATCTTGTATTATCATATTGATTATGTTTTGCTGTAAAGCATATCAATTTGTAAAGCATATTGTCAAATATAATCGAAAATCAGCAAAGTTACAAAGACTTAAAAAATATATATAGAGATATTCTATTATTAATTTATTAAACATATGTATATAAATATAATATTCCTTTATAAATAATTGTATATGAAAATGTATTTGTCGAATTAATTCATAAATCATTTGTGTCTGTCAAAGCTTGTTGGTATAATCTTCAGAGAGTGAATATGATAAATTATTTAAATTAATTTAGACATTCCCAAATTTCAAAGTTTTCTTTTGTAATATTTACACTATAATAATAAATGTTACTATAAATTTAAATAAATACGTATCTATATTATATATTCAACTTCTTAAATACCCCAAGGTTACACTTGAAAAATATAATTGTAATTAAAATATACAATATTAAATTTATTTAATAAATGACAAATAGAAAACACATACAAAAACACACACACACACATGTGTATATATGTATATATATATATATATATATATATATATATATATATATTATTGGGTATACGTACAAAACAACGAATTACAACAAATAGGATGTGTGCATTTTTTAGAGAGTATCCAAAGATCTTCGGAACTAGCGTCAAATATCACTTTAAATTTTTGCGGTGGAGTTCCAATTTTAATAGAGCCATAGTAATGCATGTTTTTAAAATTGGTCAAACGTACTGAAGGAAGATTATCACTTAACGAAAGAATTTCTTGCAAGTTGGTGCCAACGTTCTTCGAAGATTCTCGAAAGGAATCCATCTTGTGTAATGAAGTCCTTGAAATAACATAAACAGTATTCTGTGATATATATATATATATATATATATATATATATATATATATATGCAAATATATATGTATAAACTGAATATTCACATTTGATATGACTAACAAATATTTTCAAAACAAATATAAGTCATGAAAGTCTACACAAATTTAAACGTTTTAAAAATTAACTATATAACTTACATATTTACAATATATAAATATATATTACATATTTAAATATAAATATAAATGTTTATTAACTTGATGATCTTTCTAAATTATATGATTTTCGTATATATCTCAAAAGTATTATTTAATTTGTATTATTTAATTTGTAATCGGTCATCATTTAAATGTTGATAAGTCAGTGTAAATAAATCATTCTAGATAATTCAGTGTAGATAAGTCCAAGAAAGACAAAAGCAAACGTTACGAAAGAAGAAATGAGCACTTTTTCAAAGATATTATTTTATTTACTCTTTGACTAATAAATAAAAATATACGTTTTGACTTATAAAATTTCATTCAATTTGGAATCATTAATGAGAGAAGCATTAATTGCATTTGCTCAAGCCACGTGCTTAATCCAAGAAATCGGATGCAAGAAAAATAATTGATTTTTATATTTTCGATATTTATCATTCCAATATAAAATATGAAAAATATATACTGACCTGTGCAATTGCGCGTCAGTCGTCATAAAGAGCACCATCATTATCGCAAAAAGGCAAAACATAATTCAGAATTTATTTAATGCTGAATTTTCGATTCATGAAAACTTCAACAAGGACTTTCTTTCGGCATTTTATGACCAGATACACAGAAAAATAAAGTGTTGTCGCTTATGGTACTAACTCTCCCTTAGCACTGTATCGGTATTCGATAGCGTTGTGTATATATATGATCACGCGTGTCCCTCTGTTGAATGCTTGAATGGGGAGAGAAAGCGCGAAACTTTCGAAAAATCCTGATAGATATCCATCGATCAATTTAAATTAATGTTACAAAATCAGTCGGCGGTGTCTTAGGCCATTATAATCCTTATGTCGTTCTATTCTAATAAGAGTCATCCGATGACACTTGTTATGAAAATGTCGAAAGACGAAATATAAATATATAATATGTAATAATATTAAGCAAAATTATTTACAAGCAATATTATAGTGTATCTTAGATGACGGAAGAGTAGTTGAAATAATTGGTAAATAGAGAATTTTAATTATATATGAACAAAAGACTTCGTGCAGCTATATTTCTTAATAAATTTTACTTCTAATGAAAAACTGCATCAAAAGTTATTTCATGACTGACTAAAACTTGTATGTATAAATAGAAATAAATATGACTAAAAATATATATAGTCTGATCATATTACACGTTTTAGCAATGTACTCTAAAATTAAATATATTTTAGTAAACGAGAAATATATAAACAATGAACTGTTATGATTTTTAGAGCCATTTACAGGCCATTATGATTGCATTTTCACGTCAAAACAGACTCAGCCGTTATAGGAAATCAGTATCATCCTCGCTGTAAGAAATTATTTTTGAAGTTCGCATGAAATATTTTCTTCCGATCACGATCCGATTTCAGATTTCCGAAAATAATATTATTTCTGTGAAAGGACGTTATTTCTTTTTATGTAATTAAAAGATTACGATATTGAAAGCAAAATTGAAGTAATTTATATGAATGTTTTTTCGCACTTCTTTGATTTACCTGTAAAATCTTTTTATCTTATTTTTATCAACATTAATACAAAATAAATAGCAAATAATAATCGTTCGGTAATAAATAATTTTTCACGCTGTTAATATTCAACAATAATCTGAAAAACTCGAATATGAGATCAATTGATTGATCAATTCTTACGAGCTCTTTAACGAAGTTTATTTTATTCGTCCAAAAAGTTGAAAGGCGCTGCTGAATTGCCCGTTAATTGTACTAATTGCGAAATTTTCATAGCATCTATTAATCAAGATCAGAGAAAATGTCAATTTTTTTCCATTCTTCCTCGTAGTTAATTCCTGTACTCTCGATTTACGCAAGAATTTGAATCGAGAGAAAATGACACCGAAATATTATTTTTAATTGCATGACAGCGGGATATGTTATCGCACCTTTATCACCGCAATCTCTAGCAATTAATATGGTATAATAAATTGTAATGAGAAAAACGCGCTTGTCGTGTCGAACAGCACTGTTATGCATTTAAGTGCACATGACAGAATGGATAAAACAGATAAAATCAGGTCAATAAGTCAAAGATTTGAAGCAGTTCGGAAATATTTTAAATCGCAACGAGATTATTTTAAAGCGGTAACAACAAGCTGTTCTTTAACTAAACAAAAACATATATTAATTTTTGTTCACATACGAAAATGTAGGGAGTGAAACGAGAAAACTTTTGAAATTCTCGATCCATAAAATTCTTTATTTATGACAGAGCTTGAAGATTAATTTTATTGGATCTAGTGTAACCTTGCACCTTTAATTCTTATTAAATCGAACAAAGAGAAAATGATTTTTATAACATTACCATAAAATCGAAAACTTTTATTACTCATAGCACTGCACGAATAACATTTTACTTAAGATTTAATGCTGTTTCATGAATGCTATGACATTTACATAGGTTTTGGATTTCAGAAAGTCAAATGTGATCACGATGTGATAGATCAATTTTTAAAAATCAATATTTATTATATCAATATATAACGTACACATATAATGTATACAATGTGTAAATTTAGCTTTGGATTTCCGCGTCGATCAACATCACAGTCACCACGAGAAAGCGTAATATGCGTTTGAAATTTATGGCAAATTTCATTCTATCTTTCTAGCAAGTTTCTTTCTATCTTTCGTTGTGACTGGACAAAAAGACATAAAAAATAAATTGCATTCGATTCTTAGAGCTCTCGTTTATCGACATTTAGCAACTATTATATATATAATCGCGTGCATTCAAAACATATCCGTGTTATCGATGCGTCCCATCGAATAATAAAATTTAAAAATATTTTATTTAATATTTTGTTTTATAACTAAAACAAATTGTATTAAAATAAATTATTAAATGTGTGAATGATTAAGAATCACAATGAAAGAAACATCAGCGTTCCGAAAGAATAGATAGTCTGATAAAGACTGACTATATCTTACTGATAATATATATAATATATAGTATATAAAGATAGACTGATTATATCGACTAGATAGTCATGCAACAATGAATTTAGCAAATTACACTGCGCAAAAATTCGCTTCTAATTAGTAATAAGCTTATTTCAGCTTCTTTACGATAAAGGATTGCTGTTGAAAATTAAGGCACAATGTACATATTACGCAAAAATTTACATTGATAATATGTTAACCTTGTAGCTTGTGTTTTGGCGAATAAAAAACATTCAGTTTTTTTGCTATCGAAAACTAAACCAATAATTTAAAAATTTGATGATAAAGTATACAATAAAAGGTGACAATGAATGATTTCCTATACATTTCGATGAATTTTTCGACAAAGCAAATCCCACTCGGTCTTTCTCTGTGTCAAACTCGGTGTAGTTACTATCAATAAATAGTGACAAAGAAATACTTTTTATATGTTTGTATAAATTTTTCGCCAAAGAAACTCCCACTCGGTCTTCCTCTATGTCAAACTCGGTGTAGTTACTATCAATAAATGGTGACAAAGAAATATTTTCTATATGTTTGGATGAATTTTTCGCCAAAGCAAATTCCACTCGGTCATCCTCTATGTCAAACTCGGTGTAGTTACTATCAATAAATGGCGACAAAGAAATATTTTCTATATGTTTCGATGAATTTTTCGGTAAAGCAAATCCCACTCGGTTTTTTTCTATGTCAAACTCGGTGTAGTTACTATCAATAAATGGGGACAAAGAAATATTTCCTATAAGTTTAGATGAATTTTTCGCCAAAGCAAATCCCACTCGGTCTTCCTCTATGTCAAACTCGGTGTAGTTACTATCAATAAATGGTGACAAAGAAATATTTTCTATATGTTTAGATGAATTTTTCGGCAAAGCAAATCCCACTCGGTCTTCCTCTATGTCAAACTCGGTGTAGTTACTATCAATAAATGGTGACGAAGAAATATTTTCTATATGTTTCGATGAATTTTTCGCCAAAGCAAATCCCACTCGGTCTTCCTCTATGTCAAACTCGGTGTAGTTACTATCAATAAATGGTGACAAAGAAATATTTTCCATATGTTTGGATGAATTTTTCGCCAAAGCAAATCCCACTCGGTCATCCTCTATGTCAAACTCGGTGTAGTTGCTATCAATAAATGGTGACAAAGAAATATTTTCTATATGTTTCGATGAATTTTTCGGCAAAGCAAATCCCACTCGGTCTTCCTCTATGTCAAACTCGGTGTAGTTACTATCAATAAATGGTGACGAAGAAATATTTTCTATATGTTTCGATGAATTTTTCGCAAAAGCAAATCCCACTCGGTCTTCCTCTATGTCAAACTCGGTGTAGTTACTATCAATAAATGGTGACGAAGAAATATTTTCTATATGTTTGGATGAATTTTTCGCCAAAGCAAATCCCACTCGGTCATCCTCTATGTCAAACTCGGTGTAGTTACTATCAATAAATGGTGACAAAGAAATATTTTCTATATGTTTGGATGAATTTTTCGCCAAAGCAAATCCCACTCGGTCATCCTCTATGTCAAACTCGTTGTAGTTGCTATCAATAAATGGTGACAAAGAAATATTTTCTATATGTTTAGATGAATTTTTCGGCAAAGCAAATCCCACTCGGTCTTCCTCTATGTCAAACTCGGTGTAGTTATTATCAATAAATGGTGACGAAGAAATATTTTCTATATGTTTCGATGAATTTTTCGCCAAAGCAAATCCCACTCGGTCATCCTCTATGTCAAACTCGGTGTAGTTACTATCAATAAATGATGACGAAGAAATATTTTCTATATGTTTCGATGAATTTTTCGCAAAAGCAAATCCCACTCGGTCTTCCTCTATGTCAAACTCGGTGTAGTTACTATCAATAAATGGTGACAAAGAAATATTTTCTATATGTTTCGATGAATTTTTTGCCAAAGCAAATCCCACTCGGTTCTTCTCCATATCAAACTCGGTGTAATAACGGCCAATAAATGGAATACCCAGAACCCATTTTTTATTTTCAACTATGTCTTGTTTGTAGAAGATGGTTATACATATACTTTCATTATCTGGATGCTAAACAGAATTAAATACACAAGATAAACGTTTCTTATACATATTTAAATAATTTAAATAATTTGTCTGTAGCACTCACCCGAATGATGTAATCTTTACCGGCAAGATCGAATGCTTTACCATCCAAAATAAACCCGATTGTAGGCAATTGAAAAATTCGATCGCAGTTCACCTTTAAATAAATAATTAAAATTAAAATAGTTTAAATAAATAATAATTTTAGTAATTAATTATAATTTAATATTATATATGTTCAACGGAAACAAGGCTTAATCGTTGTTCCATAGAAGTTTCATTTGGACCAGAAATGTTCGCGAGTGAGCGCGGATTGCTGCGGCAGCGCGAGAATTTGATGACGCGGCAGATGGATGACCGCGAACAGATAATTGAACATAAAAGGCTTGCCACGACACGTAATTCCTTTTTTTTGGGTTTTGCGTTTTATTTAGTACACCACAATCAACAAAGTACAATAAACTGAACATAAAATTTCAGATCCAGAAAACGTACAGAGAAGTCCGAGAAACAAAGCGGTCGACGTATTTTGCGGTTAAACTGAGTGGTTATTCTAAGCGGTTTTTTCAAAGCGTACTGCGAGCAGCGTTAAGTGCGAGACTTGCCTGGTCCACGCGCGGCGCCCGTTATAAGGCGCTCGGAATTTTTGGCCCGCGTCGACGTGGACCAATTAATTTAAGATTTTAGCGGTGACACGATTGCGACGTGTGTCATTGGCCGATAATGACGTCTCATGTCATAAACAATTTATTTTTCATGCGCGCAATCTTTTAAGATCAGCTGATCGTGACGCATGGGCGCGCATGCCCATGAGCGGCGCAAATCTTAACGGCGGTTGACAATGTTATTGTCCGCGGCAATAACCTAATACCTTTTACCTAATACTTACACTTTTTATCGCTATTTAAATTTCTTATAATTTTTTTATCAAAGTGTTTTCTGAAAGATATGATTACTTGAAAAATATTGTTTACTTACTATTCCTTGTGGATTAGTTTCAGTAAAATTATAAATATTTGAAATATCTGATTGTGGTCCAGTTATTTGCCAAGCATTTGTATCAACGATAGCTTCGCAGCCTCCCAGGCACCAAGTAATATCATTCATTTGGATACTACAAAGCGATGACGTTAACAATTTGTTGAAACACGGTTAATGTAATTTAAAAAATAACGTACCTATCAATGGTAAATTGCCAGTATTGTTTGCTAGTAACGGGAATATATGTAAAATCTCCTTCGTAACAAGCAGGATCGGAACCACCGAATATCAGTTTGCCACCTAAATCGGCTGAAGTGTTTCTGCAAATTATATTTTGTATATCGTAATATATATATATATATATATATATATATTTATTTATTTATATATACACATAGGGTGTCCCAAAAGTCCCGTAATGGTTGATTACTTCATAAACTATGTACTTTAAAAAGAATTGTTTCACACGAAAATTATATGGCTTGAAGATGGCCATAAGTTGCTGTCATTCAACATCTCCAACTTTTTAAATAGGACATTCTATACCCTTTTACTTATTCTTGTAGCTTATCTTGAGAGCTTTCCAAAACATTATAATTAATTTAGTTTTCATTAAGTACTTTCCGAGTTATGAGGCTTGAAATTTATTCTGAATTTTAAATATACTGTAAAATATCTTGTGAAATATTCATTTTTCGATTATCTTATCTTAATATTTTTATATACAAAATATTGAAAGGAATCAATTGGTGTGAAAAAAAACTTATAGTTATTTAAAAAAAAAGATGTAATTGTTAATTGCAAATTACATTTTTTTTCGAAACAATTATGTGTTTTCTTTACACCAATTGACTACTCTCCCTATTTTGTACATAAAAGTATTAAGGTAAAATAATCGAAAAATCAATATTTTGCAAGATATTTTATGATATATGTAAAATTATAAATTAATTCTAACCTCATAACTCGGAAAATACTTAATGAAAACTAACTTAATTATAGTGTTTTGGAAACCTCTCGACGTAAGCTACCAGAATATTGAAGAAAAAATAAGTAGTTTCTTTTATGAAATTGAAAATGATCTTTACATTATCTCCAAACGACTTTTCAGGGTCAAAGTAATGACATCATCTTATGGCTCGTTTTTTAGTTTATACAAATTTTTTCTGAAACATTTCTCTCTAAAGTGCATAGTTTATAAAATATCGACCAGTTTATAAAATTCGACCATTCCGGAACTTTTGAGACACTCTGTATATATATATATATATATATATATATATATATATACACACACACACACATATATATATATATATATATATATATATATATATATATATATATATACAGGATGTCCTAGACCACCCGTACACCTCTTTTCTTTCAAAAACTAAGCATTTTAGAGATAAACGTTTTCGACAAAAATTGTATGGTTTTGAGGGGAACATAAATTGGTGTCATTGGTTTGACCTTGGATGGCATCGTTAAGATTAGGTCAAGGATATCTTTAATTTCATAAATGGAACCACCTATTTTTTATTGCATATTCTTATAGCTAATGTCGAGAACTTTCCAAAACACTATAATAAAGTATTTTTTCATTGAGTACTTTTCGATTTATAAGACTTAAAATATTATCTTAATTTTATATAAACTATAAAATATCTAGTAAAACATTTATTTTTCGATTATTTTACCTTAATACTTTTACGTACAAAATAATAAGAGGAATCAATTGGTGTAAAAGAAAACACATGATTGTTCCGAAGAAAAAATATGTAATTTGCAATTAACAATTACATATTTTTTCTTAAAAACAACTATGTGTTATCCTTACACCAATTTATTCCTCTCATTATTTTGTACATACAAGTATTAAGATAAGATCATCAAAAAATGAATATTTTACTAGATATTTTATGGTTTATGTAAAATTGAAAATTTATTTCAAACCTCATAACTCGAAAAGTACTCAATGAAAAAATACTTTATTATAGTGTTTTGAAAAGCTCTCGACATAAGCTAAAAAATATGCAATAAAAAATAGGTTGTTCCCTTTAAGAAATTAAAGGTGTCCTTGACCTGACCTTAACGATGTCATCTAAGGTCAAACCAACGACAACATCTTATGTTCCCCTCAAAACCATACAATTTTTGTCGAAAACGTTTTTCTCTAAACTCTAAAATACTTAGGTTTTGAAAGAAAAGAGGTGTACGGGTGGTCTAGGACAACCTGTATATAAAGGGTGTTCTAAAAGTACCGGAACGGAATATATATATATATATATATATATATATATATCTGTGATAATTAAAATTAAATTATATTTAATGTGCAAATATAAATATTATCTTAATTTATAAATATATAATACTACATATAAATAATAAATTTAATTTATTAATATTAAAATAAATATAAATGTATACAAATAGAACTATGTACTTATATAATATATACAAAATTCATATTTATTATAAATTCTCGTTTAAAGATATACGTTGTTCATATAGGTAGAAAAGATATATACCTATTTAGATAAAAACTGAAAATGCGTGATGACACTAGACCTTGTTCAATAATGTTATCAAAGAGAGGCGTCATTCTATTATCATTGATTATAATAATAAAATAATCAAGAGATCTCAGGCCAAAGATACCATCAAATGTTCGTACACACATATTGTCGACAGTCCCACTTTTGTCAATTATATCTATCGCTTCTAGAAATGTTTGATTCTCTATATTGAGGTTGGCAACCTATAATAAAATTGGTATATTAAAATAGTACATCGTTATTGCCGCGTGAAAAAAGGAATATATAATTGCTTCAAACATATTTAAACTATGATTATAGATATAAATAAATTGGATTGTTTGTTTAATAATGACTTACATTCACAGTATCAATTACTACATTTCCTGATACATAAAAATATTTATAAAATGAATAAAAATCTGGATGATAAGAATTTTTACTATTTCTTATATCATTGTATGTTTTGGATCTTGTATTATCATATTGATTATGTTTTGCTGTAAAGAACATCAATTTGTAAAGCATATTGTCAAATATAATCGAAAATCAGTAAAAATACAAAGATTTAAAAAATATATATAGAGATACTGTATTATTAATTTATTAAACATATATATATATATATATAAATATATATTCTTTTATATATATATATATATATATATATATATATAATATTCTTTTATAATAATATAATTGTATATGTAAAGGTATTTGTCGAATTAATTCATAAATCATCTGTGTCTGTCAAAGCTAGTTTGTATAATCTTCAGAGAGTGAATGTCATAAATTATTTAAATTAATTTAGACATTCCCAAATTTCAAAGTTTTCTTTTGTATTATTTACACTATAATAATAAATGTTACTATAAATTTAAGTAAATACGTATCTGTATTATATATTCAACTTCTTAAATATCCCAAGGTTACACTTCAAAAATATAATTGTAAATAAAATATACAATATTAAATTTATTTAATAAATGACAAATAAAAACACATACAAATAAACACACACACATATATGTATGTAAGTATGTATATATATATATATATATACATATATATATATATATATATATATATATATTATTGGATATACGTACAAATCAACGAATTACAACAAATAGGGTGCGTGCATTTTTTGGAGAGTATCCAAAGATCTTTGGAACCAGCGTCGAATATCACTTTAAATTTTTGCTGTGGAGTTCCAATTTTAACAGAGCCATAATAATGAATGTTTTTAAAATTGGTCAAACGTATTGAAGGAAGATTATCACTTAACGAAAGAATTTCTTGCAAGTTGGTGCCAACGTTTTTCGAAGATTCTCGAATGGAATCCATCTTATGTAATGAAGTCCTTGAAATAACATAAACAGTATTCTGTGATATATATATATATATATTTGCAAATATATATGTATAAAATGAATATTCACATTTGATATGACTAACAGATATTTTCAAAATAAATGTAAGTCATGAAAGTCTACACAAATTTAAACGTTTTAAAAATTAACTATATAACTTACATACTTACAATATATAAATATATATTACGCATTTAAATATAAATATAAATGTTTATTAATTAGATGATCTTTCTAAACTATATGATTTTCGTAAATATCTCAAAAGTATTATTTAATTTGTATTATTTAATTTATAATCGGTCATCATTTAAATGTAGATAAGTCAGTATAAATAAGTCAGTCTAGATAATTCAGTGTAAATAAGTCCAAGATAGACAAAAGCAAACGTTACGAAAGAAGAAATGAGCACTTTTTCAAAGATATTACTTTATTTACTCTTTGACTAATAAATAAAAATATACGTTTTGACTTATAAAATTTCATTCGATTTGCATAGAAGCATTAATTGCACAAGCCACGTGCTTAATCCAAGAAATCGGATGCAAGAAAAGTAATCGTTTTTTATATTTTCGATATTCATCATTCCAATATAAAATATAATAAAATATATATTCACCTGTGCAATTGTGCGTCAGTCGTCATAAAGAGCACCGTCACTATCGTAAAAAGGCGAAACATATATAATTCAGAATTTATTTACTGCTGAAGTCTCGATTCGAAAATTTCAACAAGGACTTTCTTTCGACACTTTATGATCAGATACGCAGAAAAATAAAGTGTTGTCGCTTACTAACTCTCCCTTAGCACTGTATCGGTATTCGATAGCGTTATGGATATATATGATCACGCGTGTCCCTCTGTTGAATGCTTGAATGGGGAGAGAACGCGCGAAACTTTCGAAAAATCCTGATAGATATCCATCGATCAATTTAACTTAATGTTACAAAATCAGTCGGCGGTGTCTTAGGCCATTATAATCCTTATGTCGTTCTATTCTAATAAGAGTCATCCGATGACACTTGTTATGAAAATGTCTAAAAACGAAATATAAATATATAATATCTAATAATATTAAGCAAAATTATTTACAAGCAATATTATAGTGTATCTTTGATGACGGAAGAGAAGTTGAAATAATTGATAAATAGACAATTTTTATTATAAAAAAACAAAAGACTTCGTGCAGCTGTATTTCTTAATGAATTTTACTTCTAATGAAAAACTGCATCGAAAGTTATTTCATGACTAACTAAAATGACTTGTATGTATAAATAGAAATAAATATGACTAAAAATATATATAGTCTGATCACGTTACATGTTTTATCAATGTACTCTAAAATTAAATATATTTTAGTAAACGAGAAATATATAAACAATGAACTGTTATGATTTTTAAAGCTGCCATTTACAGGCCATTACGAATGAATTTTCACGTCAAAACAGACTCAGCCATTATAGGAAATCAGTATCATCCTCGTTGTAAGAAATTATTTTTGAAGTTTGCACGAAATATTTTCTTCCGATCACGATCCGATTTCAGATTTCCGGAAATAATATTATTTCTGTGAAAGGACGTTATTTCTTTTTATGTAATTAAAAGATTACGATATTGAAAGCACAATTGAAGTAATTTATATGAATGTTTCTTCGCACATCTTTGATTTATCTGTAAAATATTTTCATCTTATTATTTTTATCAACATCCATACAAAATAAATAGCAAATAATAATCGTTCGGTAATAAATAATTTTTCACGCTGTTAATATTCAACAATAATCTGAAAAACTCGAATATGAGGTCAATTCTTACGAGCTCTATAACGAAGTTTATTTTATTCGTACAAAAAGTCGAAAAGCGCTGCAGAATCGCCCGTTAATTGTATTAATTGCGAAATTTTATAGCATCTATTAATCAAGAACAGAGAAAATGTCAATTTTTTTCCAATCTTCCCTTGCAGTTCATTTCTGTACTCTTGATTTACGCAAGAATTTGAATCGAGAGAAGATGACACCAAGATATTATTTTTAATTGTATGACAGGGGAATATATTATCGCACTTTTATCACTACAATTTTCAAGGATTAATATGATATAGTAAATTGTAATGAGAAAAAGCGCTTGTCGTGTCGAACAGCACCGTTATGCATTTAAGTGCACATGACGGAATGAATAATACAAATAAAATCAGGTCGATAAGTCGATGATTTGATGCGGTTCGGAAATTTTTAGATCGCGGCAAGATTGTCTTAAAGCGGTAACAATGAGCTGTTCTCTCACTAAAAGAAAGCATGTTAATTTTTGTTCACATACGAAGATGTGAGTGAAACGAGAAAACCTTTGAAATTCTCGATCCATAAAATTCTTTATTTACGAGAGAGCTTCAAGATTAATTTTATTAGATCCAGTGTAACTTTGCATCTTTAATTCTTAATAAATTGAGCAAAGAGAAAATGATTTCAGTAACATTATAAAATCGAAAACTTTTATTGCTCATCGCAATGCACGAAAGACCTTCTATTTAGGATTTATCCGTGTTTTTTGAATGCAATCACATTTACATAGGTTTTGGATTTCGAAAAGTGGAATATGATCACGATGAGATAGATCGATTTTTATAAAATTAATATTTATTATATCAATATATAACGTACACATATAATATATACAAAGTGTGAATTTAGCTTTGGATTTCCGCGTCGATCAACATCACAATCACCACGAGAAAGCGTAATATGTGTTTGAAATTTCTGGCAAATTTCTTTCTATCTTTCTAGCAAGTTTCTTTCTATCTTTCGTTGTGACTGGACAAAAAGACATAAAAAATAAATTGTATTCGATTCTTAGAGCTCTCGTTTATCGACATTTAGCAGCTGTTATATATACAATCGCGCGAATTCAAAACATATCCTTGTTATCGATCCGCCCTATCGATCAATCAAATTTAAAAATATTTTATTTAATATTTTGTTTTATAATTAAAACAAATTGCATTAAAATAAATTATTAAATGTGCGCGTGATTAAGAATCATAATAAAGGAAACATTATTGTTTCGAAAGAACAGACTGATTATATTTCGACTAGACGACCATGCAATAATGAACTTAGTAAATGACACTACTCGCAAAAATTCGCATTCTAATTAACAATAAGCTCATATCAGCTGCTTTCACGATAAAGTATTGCTGTTGAAAATTAAGAAACAATTATATACAAATATATACATATTACGAAAAAATTCATATGCAAACTTTGTCGGTTGGCGATTAAAAAAGATTCAGTTTTTTTCCTATCAGAAACTAAACTAATAATTTAAAAATTTGATGATAAGATATACAATAAAAGATGATAATGAAAGATTTTCCATATATTTCGATGAATTTTTCGCCAAAGCAAATCCCACTCGGTCTTCCTCTATGTCAAACTCGGTGTAGTTACTATCAATAAATGGTGACAAAGAAATATTTTCTATATGTTTTGATGAATTTTTCGCCAAAGCAAATCCCACTCGGTCTTCCTCTATGTCAAACTCGGTGTAGTTACTATCAATAAATGGTGACAAAGAAATATTTTCTATATGTTTTGATGAATTTTTCGCCAAAGCAAATCCCACTCGGTTCTTCTCCATATCAAACTCGGTGTAATAACGGCCAATAAATGGAATACCCAGAACCCATTTATTATTTTCAACTATGTCTTGTTTGTAGAAGATGGTTATACATATACTTTCATTATCTGGATGCTAAGCAGAATTAAATACACAAGATAAACTTCTCTTATACATATTTAAATAATTTAAATAATTTGTCTGTAGCACTCACCCGAATGATGTAATCTTTACCGGCAAGATCGAATGCTTTACCACCCAAAATAAACCTGATTGTAGCCAATTGAAAAATTCGATCGCAGTTCACCTTTAAATAAATAATTAAAATTAAAATAGTTTAAATAAATAATAATTTTAGTAATTAATTATAATTTAATATTATATATGTTCAACGGAAACAAGGCTTAATGTCGTTGTTCCATAGAAGTTTCATTTGGACGTACCTAATACTTACACTTTTTATCGCTAAATCTTTAAATTTCTTATAATTTTTTTATCAAAGTGTTTTCTGACAGATATGATTACTTGAAAAATATTGTTTACTTACTATTCCTTGTGGATTAGTTTCAGTAAAACTATAAATATTTGAAATATCTGATTGTGGTCCAGTTATTTGCCAAGCATTTGTATCAACGATAGCTTCGCAGCCTCCCAGGCACCAAGTAATATCATTCATTTGGATACTACAAAGCGATGACGTTAACAATTTGTTGAAACACGGTTAATGTAATTTAAAAAATAACGTACCTATCAATGGTAAATTGCCAGTATTGTTTGCTAGTAACGGGAATATATGTAAAATCTCCTTCGTAACAAGCAGGATCAGAACTACCGAATATCAGTTTGCCACCTAAATCGGCTGAAGTGTCTCTGCAAATTATATTTTGTATATCGTAAAGTTCTCGACATAAGCTAAAAGAATATGCAATAAAAAATAGGTGGTTCCATTTATGAAATTAAAGGTATCCTTGACCTGACCTTAACGATGCCATCCAAGGTCAAACCAATGACACCAATTTATGTTCCCCTCAAAACCATACAATTTATGTCGAAAACGTTTTTCTCTAAAATGCTTAGTTTTTGAAAGAAAAGAGGTGTACGGGTGGTCTAAAACACCCTGTATATAAAGGGTGTTCCAAAAGTCCCGGAATATATATATATATATATATATATATATATATACATATATATCTGTGATAATTAAAATTAAATTATATTTAATGTGCAAATATAAATATTATTTTAATTTATAAATATATAATACTATACATAAATAATAAATTTTATTTATTAATATTAAAATAAATATAAATGTATACAAATATAGAGCTACTGTACTTATATAATATATACAAAATTCATATTTATTATAAATTCTCATTTAAAGATATACGTTGTTCATATAGGTAGAGAAGATATATACCTATTTAGATAAAAACTGAAAATGCGTGATGACACTAGACCTTGTTCAATAATGTTATCAAAGAGAGGCGTCATTCTATTATCATTGATTATAATAATAAAATAATCAAGAGATCTCAGGCCAAAGATACCATCAAATGTTCGTACACACATATTGTCGACAGTCCCACTTTTGTCAATTATATCTATCGCTTCTAGAAATGTTTGATTCTCTATATTGAGGTTGGCAACCTATAATAAAATTGGTATATTAAAATAGTACATCGTTATTGCCGCGTGAAAAAAGGAATATATAATTGCTTCAAACATATTTAAACTATGATTATAGATATAAAAAAATATGGATTGTTTGTTTAATAATGACTTACATTCACAGTATCAATTGCTACATTTCCTGTTACAAAAAAATATTTATAAAATAAATGAAAATCTGGATGATAAGAATTTTTACTATTTCTTATATCATTGTATGTTTTGGATCTTGTATTATCATATTGATTATGTTTTGCTGTAAAGAACATCAATTTGTAAGGCATATTGTCAAATATAATCGAAAATCAGTAAAAATACAAAGATTTAAAAAATATATATAGAGATATTGTATTATTAATTTATTAAACATATATATATATATATATATATATATATATATATAATATTCTTTTATAATAATATAATTGTATATGTAAAATTGTAATTGTCGAATTAATTCATAAATCATCTGTGTTTATCAAATCTTGTTTGTATAATCTTCAGAGAGTGAATGTCATAAATTATTTAAATTAATTTAGACATTCCCAAATTTCAAAGTTTTCTTTTGTATTATTTACACTATAATAATAAATGTTACTATAAATTTAAGTAAATACGTATCTGTATTATATATTCAACTTCTTAAATATCCCAAGGTTACACTCGAAAAATATAATTGTAAATAAAATATATAATATTAAATTTATTTAATAAATGACAAATAAAAACACACACACATATATGTATGTAAGTATGTATATATATATATATATATATATATATTATTGGGTATACGTACAAATCAACGAATTACAACAAATACGGTGCGTGCATTTTTTGGAGAGTATCCAAAGATCTTTGGAACCAGCGTCGAATATCACTTTAAATTTTTGCTGTGGAGTTCCAATTTTAACAGAGCCATAGTAATGAATGTTTTTAAAATTGGTCAAACGTATTGAAGGAAGATTATCACTTAACGAAAGAATTTCTTGCAAGTTGGTGCCAACGTTTTTCGAAGATTCTCGAATGGAATCCATCTTGTGTAATGAAGTCCTTGAAATAACATAAACAGTATTCTGTGATATATATATATATATATATATATATATATATATATGCAAATATATATGTATAAACTGAATATTCACATTTGATATGACTAACAAATATTTTCAAAACAAATATAAGTCATGAAAGTCTACACAAATTTAAACGTTTTAAAAATTAACTATATAACTTACATACTTACAATATATAAATATATATTACGCATTTAAATATAAATATAAATGTTTATTAACTTGATGATCTTTCTAAACTATATGATTTTCGTATATATCTCAAAAATATTATTTAATTTGTATTATTTAATTTGTAATCGGTCATCATTTAAATGTAGATAAGTCAGTGTAAATAAGTCAGTCTAGATAATTCAGTGTAAATAAGTCCAAGATAGACAAAAGCAAACGTTACGAAAGACAAAAGCAAACGTTACGAAAGAAGAAATGAGCACTTTTTCAAAGATATTACTTTATTTACTCTTTGACTAATAAATAAAAATATACGTTTTGACTTATAAAATTTCATTCGATTTGTATAGAAGCATTAATTGCATTTCCTCAAGCCACGTGCTTAATCCAAGAAATCGGATGCAAGAAAAATAATCGATTTTTATATTTTCGATATTTATCATTCCAATATAAAATATAATAAAATATATATTCACCTGTGCAATTGTGCGTCAGTCGTCATAAAGAGCACCGTCACTATCGCAAAAAGGCGAAACATATATAATTCAGAATTTATTTACTGCTGAAGTCTCGATTCGAAAATTTCAACAAGGACTTTCTTTCGACACTTTATGATCAGATACGCAGAAAAATAAAGTGTTGTCGTTTACTAACTCTCCCTTAGCACTGTATCAGTATTCGATAGCGTTATGGATATATATGATCACGCATGTCCCTCTGTTGAATGCTTGAATGGGGAGAGAACGCGCGAAACTTTCGAAAAATCCTGATAGATATCCATCGATCAATTTAAATTAATGTTACAAAATCAGTCGGCGGTGTCTTAGGCCATTATAATCCTTATGTCGTTCTATTCTAATAAGAGTCATCCGATGACACTTGTTATGAAAATGTCTAAAAACGAAATATAAATATATAATATCTAATAATATTAAGCAAAATTATTTACAAGCAATATTATAGTGTATCTTAGATGACGGAAGAGAAGTTGAAATAATTGATAAATAGACAATTTTTATTATATAAAAACAAAAGACTTCGTGCAGCTATATTTCTTAATGAATTTTACTTCTAATGAAAAACTGCATCGAAAGTTATTTCATGACTGACTAAAATGACTTGTATGTATAAATAGAAATAAATATGACTAAAAATATATATAGTCTGATCACGTTACATGTTTTATCAATGTACTCTAAAATTAAATATATTTTAGTAAACGAGAAATATATAAACAATGAACTGTTATGATTTTTAAAGCTGCCATTTACAGGCCATTACGAATGAATTTTCACGTCAAAACAGACTCAGCCGTTATAGGAAATCAGTATCATCCTCGCTGTAAGAAATTATTTTTGAAGTTTGCACGAAATATTTTCTTCCGATCACGATCCGATTTCAGATTTCCGGAAATAATATTATTTCTGTGAAAGGACGTTATTTCTATTTATGTAATTAAAAGATTACGATATTGAAAGCACAATTGAAGTAATTTATATGAATGTTTCTTCGCACATCTTTGATTTATCTGTAAAATATTTTCATCTTATTATTTTTATCAACATCCATACAAAATAAATAGCAAATAATAATCGTTCGGTAATAAATAATTTTTCATGCTGTTAATATTCAATAATAATCTCTGAAAAACTCGAATATGAGGTCAATTCTTACGAGCTCTATAACGAAGTTTATTTTATTCGTACAAAAAGTCGAAAAGCGCTGCAGAATCGCCCGTTAATTGTATTAATTGCGAAATTTTATAGCATCTATTAATCAAGAACAGAGAAAATGTCAATTTTTTTCCAATCTTCCCTTGCAGTTCATTTCTGTACTCTTGATTTACGCAAGAATTTGAATCGAGAGAAGATGACACCAAGATATTATTTTTAATTGCATGACAGGGGAATATATTATCGCACTTTTATCACTACAATTTTCAAGGATTAATATGATATAGTAAATTGTAATGAGAAAAACGCGCTTGTCGTGTCGAACAGCACCGTTATGCATTTACCATAAGTGCACATGACGGAATGAATAATACAAATAAAATCAGGTCGATAAGTCGATGATTTGATGAGGTTAGGAAATTTTTTAGATCGCGGCAAGATTGTCTTAAAGCGGTAACAATGAGCTGTTCTCTCACTAAAAGAAAGCATGTTAATTTTTGTTCACATACGAAGATGTGAGTGAAACGAGAAAATCTTTGAAATGGTCGATCCATAAAATTCTTTATTTACGAGAGAGCTTCAAGATTAATTTTATTAGATCCAGTGTAACTTTATATCTTTAATTCTTAATAAATTGAGCAAAGAGAAAATGATTTCAGTAACATTATCATAAAATCGAAAACTTTTATTGCTCATCGCAATGCACGAAAGACCTTCTATTTAGGATTTATCCGTCTTTTTTGAATTCAATCACATTTTACATAGGTTTTGGATTTCGAAAAGTGGAATATGATCACGATGAGATAGATCGATTTTTATAAAATCAATATTTATTATATCAATATATAACGTACACATATAATATATACAATGTGTGAATTTAGTTTTGGATTTCCGCGTCGATCAACATCACAATCACCACGAGAAAGCGTAATATGTGTTTGAAATTTCTGGCAAATTTCTTTCTATCTTTCTAGCAAGTTTCTTTCTATCTTTCGTTGTTACTGGACAAAAAGACATAAAAAATAAATTGAATTCGATTCTTAGAGCTCTCGTTTATTGACATTTAGCGGCTGTTATATATACAATCGCGCGAATTCAAAACATATCCGTGTTATCGATCCGCCCTATCGATCAATTAAATTTAAAAATATTTTATTTATTATTTTCTTTTATAATTAAAACAAATTGCATTAAAATAAATTATAATTTTAATGTGCGCGTGATTAAGAATCATAATAAAGGAAACATTATTGTTTCGAAAGAATAGACTAATTATATTTCGACTAGACGACCATGCAATAATGAACTTAGTAAATGACACTACTCGCAAAAATTCGCATTCTAATTAACAATAAGCTCATATCAGCTGCTTTCACGATAAAGTATTGCTGTTGAAAATTAAGACACAATTATATACAAATATATACATATTACGCAAAAATTCATTTGCAAACTTTGTCGGTTGGCGATTAAAAAAGATTCAGTTTTTTTCCTATCAGAAACTAAACTAATAATTTAAAAATTTGATGATAAGGTATACAATAAAAGGTGATAATGAAAGATTTTCCATATATTTCGATGAATTTTTCGCCAAAGCAAATCCCACTCGATCTCTCTCCATATCAAACTCGGTGTAGAAACGGCCAATAAATGGCATGCCTAGAATCCATTTTATTTCAGTTGTATTTTCAATTTGGTGTCCCGAAAAGACGTTTATACATTTCTTTTCATCGGCTGGATCCTAAGAATTAAATATACAATAAAAAGTTCTCCTATATATATTTTAATAATTTAAATAATAATTTGCTTACAGCACTCACCCGAATAATGTAATCTTTACCGGTAAGATCGAACGCCTTACCACCCAAATTAAACCTGATTGTAGGCAATTGAAGAATTTTCTTGCAGTTCACCTTTAAATAAAACATAATATCAAGTTAATAATTAATCATATTTAATGAATATATTAAGTATTTCAAAAACAAGAACTAATGTCACTGTTCCATAGAAGTTTATGTTTCATTTGAACGTACCTAATATTTATTTTTCTATCGCTGTTATCAATATCTTATAATTTTTTTTATCAAGAGCTACTTTGAAAGATATGTATATATTATTTGAAAGATATTACTTACTCTTCCCAGTGAATCAGTTTCAATAAGTAGATAGATAAATTGTATATCCATTTTTGGTCCAACTATTTGCCAACAACCTGTATCAACAATAGCTTGGCAGCTTTCCTTGCATAGAGTAATGTGTTTCACTTGGATACTACAAAGTATGATGTAAACAATTTGTTGAAACACGATCAATGTAATTTAAAAAATAACCTACTTATCAATGGTAAATTGCCAGTGTCTTTTATGAGTAACAGGAATGTATGTGAAATCCCCTTCGTAATAGGTAGGATCGGAACCACCCAATGTGAATTGACCACCTAAATCGGCTAAAGTGTCTCTGCAAATTATATTTTTTATATCATAATAAACTATATGTCTGCGATAATTAAGATAATTATATTTAATGAGCAAATATAAACTAATATATAACTAATATATTACTTTAATTTAAAAAATTATAATAATATATATAAATAATGAATTTAATTGTGTTAATATAAAAATTAAAATAAATTAAATGTCTTAAATTATATTATATCATCATAAATATAAAATAAATAAAAAAAAAAAAAAAAAAAAAAAAAAAAAAAAAAAAAAAAAAAAAAAAAAAAAAAAAAAAAAAAAAAAAAAAAAAAAGAGTGTCCAAAATCCTGACCGGTCGAATATTTCATAAACTATGCACTTTAGAAAGAAATGTTTCAGACAAAAGTTATATGGCTTGAAGGGGGCCATCAGATAGTGGCAATGATTTGACCTTGGAGAGTCATTTGAAGGTGACGTAAAGGTCACCTTCAATTTCTTAAACGGAACTCCCTATTTTTTATTACATATTCGTATAGCTTATCTCGAGAGCTTTCCAAAACACTATAATAAAGTATTTCTTCATTGAGTACTTTTCGAGTTATAAGGCTTGAAATCATTTCTTAATTTTGCATAAATCATAAAATATCTTGTAAAATATTCATTTTTCGATTATCTTACCTTAGTATTATACTTTTATGTACAAAATGAGAGGAATCAATTGGTCTAAAAAAAAAACAGTTGTTTTTTAAGAAAAAAATATGTAATTTGCAATTAACAATTACATATATTTTTTTTAAACAACTATGTGTTTTCTTTACACCAATTGATTCCTCTCAATATTTTGTATATAAAAGTATTAAGGTAAGATAATCAAAAAATGAATATTTTACTAGATATTTTATGGTTAATGCAAAATTAAGAAATGATTTCAAGCCTCATAACTCGAAAAGTACTCAATAAAGAAATACTTTATTATAGTGTTTTGGAAAGCTCTCGAGATAAGCTACACGAATATGTAATAAAAAATAGGAAATTCCGTTTAAGAAATTGACGGTGATCTTCACGTGACTTTCAAATGACTCTCCCATGTCAAATCATTGCCACTATCTGATGGCCCCCTTGAAGCCATACAACTTTTGTCTGAAACATTTCTTTCTAAAGTGCATAGTTTATGAAATATTCGACCGGTCCGGGATTTTTGGGACACTCTGTATATGCATATACAATATTCATACTTATTAAAAATTCTTGTTTATATTTTAAAGATGTACGTTGTTCATAAATGGATAAGATATGTACCTATTTAGATAAAAACTGAAAATACGTGATGAAACTAGACCTTGTTTAATTATATTGTCGAAGACAGGCGTTATTTCATCGATAGATAGGTTGGAATAACTCAGGCCCAAGACACCATCAAATGTATGTTCAGCAATCATATTTACATTTGATACGTTTACCACTTCTATAAATGTTTGATTCTTTACATTGAGGTTGGCAACCTATAATAAAATTAATATTGTAATAATACGTTATTGTCGCGCAAAAAAGAACATGATTGCTCAAGAAATAATTAAACTACGATTATATCTAAACGATTATATCTAAACTACGATTGTATCTAAATTGAATTGTTTGTTTAATAATGACTTACATTCACTGTATCAATAGCTAGATATCCATCTACCTCGATACAGTCGTATGATATACAGACGGAAATATCATAACAATTATTTGTTACATTATTGTATGTCCGGGATGTTGCACTATCATATTTATTACGTTCTGCTGTAAAGCAAATAAATATTCAATATCGAAAATTAGCAAAATTAGAAAGACTTTAAGAATATGTATAAAAATATCTCATTAATCTATATTAAATATACAATAATCTTTTATAAATAATTTTATAAATAATATTCATATAATAATAATATAAATAAATAATAAATAATAATAAATAATATAAATAATATTTTTTATAAATAAAAACATAATTCTTTTATAAATAAATATTCTTTTATAAATAAATATTTCTTTATAAATAAATATACAATATTCTTTTATAAGTCTTTTATAAACATATATTGTACATATATTGTAAATGTATTTGTCGAAATAATAAATTGTCTGCTTATCAAAGCTTGTCTGTATGTTCAGAAAGCGAATTTGATAAACTATTTCAGTTAATTTATACATGCAAATTCCAAAGTTGGCCATTGTAATATTTACACTATCATATTAAGTATTACTATAAAAATAAGTATGTGTATTTAACTTTTTAAATATCCCAAGATTATACTTGAAAAATATAATTGTAGATAGTATGTATATGCACAAACAAATTACTTACAACAAGCAGGTATTGTGCACTTTTTGGACAAAATCCAAAGAGGTGCGGAACCAGTATCAAATACAACTTTAAATTCTTGCGGTGGAGTTCCAATTTTAATGGAGCCATAATAAGCTACGTTTTTGAAATTGATCAATTTTTCTGAAGGGAGATTATCATTTAAAGAAAAAACTTTTTGCAAGTTGGTGCCAACTTTTTTCGAAAATTCTCGAATGGAATCCGTATTGTTCAATGAAATGCTTGAAATAACATAAAAAACATTCTGTGAATGCAAGTGTATATATATATATATATATATATATATATATATATATATATATATATATATATTTTATACATATGTGTATATATATGTATAAAATAAATATTCACATTTGATACGACTAACAGATATTTTCAGAACAAATATAAATCATGAAAGTCTACACAAATTGAAATGTCTCAGAAATCAACTATATAATTTATATATTTACAATACATTGCGCATTTAGATATAACTATATGAGAAATGTTTATAAACTCGATGATCTTTCTAAATAATTTGATTCTCATATATATTGTACATACATATATCAAAAGTAATATTTAATTTGTAATACAATCTTTTAAATAAAATCATTATAACGGACATTGCTTTTTAATTAACGACAATTTTGCGTGTAATTTTACAATTTTAGAAATAATTCAAAAACAAGTGACTTTATCAACTATCAAAAATAGAATGTAGAGAATGTCAAGTAAACAAATAATACAAAGCGATTTATACCTATTATATAAAGTTGATCTGCTATTGCGTGAAAAAGTTTACAATTAAATCTTTTGATGACCTCCCATCACGATTTATGTCAACGGTCGTCGTTTAAATAGGGATAAAGACAAGATGGACAAAAGCGAACGTTACGAAAGAACAATGAGCACTTTCTCAAAAATATTGTCATTTTATTTACTCTTTGACGAATAAATAAAAATATACGTTCTAACAAAAGAAATTTCATCCAATTTGTATAGAAGCATTATTTGCATTTGCACGCGTTTAATCCAAGAAATCGGATGCAAGAAAAATAATCGATTTTTGTATTTTCGATATTTATCAACATACAATATAATAAAATATATATTGACCTGTCTAATCGTGCATCAGTCGTCATAAAGAGCACCGTCACAACCGTAAAAAGGCGAAACATATTTCAGAATTTATTTTCTACTGAAGTCTTGGTTCGTTAAAATTTGATTTTTTCGACACTTTATAATCAGATACACAGAAAAATAAAGTGTTGTCGCTTACTAACACTCCTCTTAACACTGTATCGGTATTCGATAGCGTTATATACATATATGATCGCGCGTGCCCCCTTTGAATGCTTGAATAGATAGAGAAGGCGCAAAACATTCGAAAAATCTAATGGATTTCCATCGATCAATTTAATTTAAATATATTATATTTTGCATTATCATATTATAATTAAGAACGTTTATATAAATTCATGATTATTAATAATAAATATTATTATATAATCATGATTATTATTATATAATCGGAGATGAATATTATTATATAATCATGACTATTAATAATAAATATTATTTATATAAATTCATGATTATTAATAATAAAAAACGATTCTTTCGAAAGAATACATTTTGTTTATATTATATTGATTAAACGGACAATCATGCAACATTACCCTTTACAATAGATAATTTGCGAAAAGTAGCATTTAATTAATCACCTTTTTTACATTAAACATCTTTTTTTTAATAATTCTGTGCGGGAAAACTATATTTATATAATTATAAATCGCTTTATTTGATGACTTCCTGAGGTTTTTAATTAAAAAAGAAAATATACATAATCTTAAAATATATATTTCAATATTTATTAATTTCATAAATTTTGCTACAAACAACTTGTTATGTTAAATTAGGGATAATATTAATATGAATATGTTTAATTCGAGATACTATATACAAAACTTAAAAATGTATACTATATGTACATTTCTTTCCTATATTATGCAAATTTTAGGAAAAAGCAACTATATAAAATTTTGTGAAAGAGCTTTAAGATTAATTTTATTAGATTCAGTGTAACCTTTCACCTTCAATTCTTATTAAATCGAGCAAAGAGAAAATGATTTTTATAATATTATTATAAAATCGAAAACTTTTATTGCTCATCGCACTACACGAATAACCTTTTATTTAGGATTTAACGGTGTTTTATGAATGCAGTCACATTTACATAGATTTTGGATTTCCTAAAGTCGAATGTGGTCTCGACGAGGTAGATCGATTTTTATAAAAACAATATTTGTTATGTCGATACGTAACGTAAACATACAATACAATGTATGAATTTAGTTTTGGATTTCGGTATTGATCAGTCACTACGAAAAACGAAACATTGTTTCAAAATTTCTGGCAAATTTTTTTACGTACGTTGTGACTGACATAAAGACATAAAAAATAAATTGTATTCGATTACTGGAGCTATCGTTTATCGATGTTTGGCGACTGCTATATATACAATCGCGCGCATTCGAAACACCCGTGTTATCGATCCGCCACTTTCGTCCTATCGATCAATTAAATTTAAAAATATTTTATTTAATATTTTGTTTTATAATTAAAACAAATTGCATTAAAATAAATTATTAAATGTGCGCGTGATTAAGAATGATAATAAAGGAACAATCAGCGTTTCGAAAGAATAGATTGATTATATCGACTAGACAGCCGTGAACAATGAACTTAGCAAATGACACTGCTCGCAAAAATTGACATTCTAATTAGCAATAAGCTCATATCAGCTGCTTTCACGATAAAGTATTGCTGTTGAAAATTAAGACACAATTATGTACATATTACGCAGAAATTCACATTGATAGTTTGCGAATTTTATCGGTTGGCGATTAAAAAAGGTTAAATTTTTTTCCTATTGAAAACTACACCAATAATAAAAAACATTGATGATAAAGTATGCAATAAAATGTGACAATGAAAGGTTTTCTATACATTTTGATGATACATTTTTCGCCAAAGCAAATCCTATTCTGTCTCTTTCCATATCAAACTGCGTGTAGTAACGGCCAATAAATGGCACACCTAGTAACCATTTTATTTCAGTATCATTTTCGCAGTTTTCTCTAAAGACGCTCAAACATATCCTTTCATTGCATGGATCCTGAGAATTAAATATACAATGGAAACTTCTCCTATATATATTTAAATAATTTAAATAATTTGCCTACAACACTCACCGGTATGATGTAATCTTTACCAGTAAGAGTGAACGTCTTGCCACCCAAATTAAACCTGACTCGAGGCGCATGGAAAATTTGATCGCAGTCCACCTTTAAATAAATAATAATATTAAGTTAATAATTAAAAATATTTAATAAATATAGTAAATATTATATATTAAATATTTTTCAACGGAAACAAGGATTATTGTCGTTGTTCCGAGATAGAAGTTTATGTTTCATTTGAATGTACCTAATATTTATTCTTTTTTTATTGCTATTATTAATTTTTTATAATTTTTTTATTAAAAGCTGCGAGCTTTGTGAAAAATATGATTACTCGATAGATATTTACTTACTTTTCCCTGTGAATCAATTTTAATAAATTTATTAATAATTGAAACTTCCGTTTTTGGTCCAACTATTAACTCATTGCCTGTATCAACGATAGCTTGGCAGCCTTTTCTGCACCAAGTAAAAAATTTTACTTGGATACTACAAAACGATGACATTAACAATCTGTTGAACCATGATTAATGTATAATTTAAAAAAATAACATACCGATCAATGATAAATTGCCAGTATCCTTTGTTAGTAACAGGAACATATGTAAAATCCCCTTCGTAATAAGTAGGATTGGAACCACCTAATGTCAATTCACCACCAAAATCGGCTGAAGTGTCTCTGCAAATTATATTTTTTTATATCGTAATATACTATATGTCTGCGATAATTAAAATAATTATATTTAATGAGCAAATATAAATATTACTTTAATTTAAAAAATTATAATAATATATATATAAATAATGAATTTAATATATATTAATATTAAAATAAATATAAAATGAATATAACTGTACATACAAACAGAATTATATAATATTCATATTTATTAAAAAAATTGTTTAGAGATATACGTTTATAGCTAGAAAAAATATGTACCTATTTAGATAAAAACTGAAAATGCGTGATGACATTAGACCTTGTTGAATCATGTTGTCGAAGATAGACGTTATTCCATCCTCAGATATATTGGAATAACTCAGACCTAAGAGACCATCAATTGTTGGTTCGGAAAATACATTTTCGTTTGATACACATACTACTTCTACAAATATTTGATTTTTTACATCGAGGTTCACAATCTATAGTAAAATTGATATTGAAATAATACATTATTATTGCCGCGCAAAAGAAAGAACATGATTGCTTAAGACATGTTTGAACTACGATTATAGTTGTAACTAAATTGGATTGTTTGTTTAATAATGACTTACATTCACTGTATCAATTGCTAAGAATCCTAATACATCAACACAGCTATATGATATTTCCAAATACTCACTATTATTTCTTATATTTTTGTATGTCTCAGATTTTGTATTGTCATATTTATTATGATTTACTGTGAAGCAAATAAATATTCAATATCGTAAATCAGAAAAATTTTTATTAATTTTTATTTATTTATTTTTATTTATTTTTATATATTTTAATTTTTAAAAATATATAATGATATTCTCTTTCTCTCTCTCTCTCTCTCTCTCTCTCTCTCTCTCTCTCTCTCTCTCTCTCTCTCTCTTTATATATATATATATATATATATATATATATATATATAGAGAGAGAGAGAGAGAGAGAGAGAGAGAGAGAGAGAATATCATTATATATTTTTAAAAATTAAAATATATAAAAATAAATAAAAATAAATAAATAAAAATTAATAAAAAATTTTTAAATATATATACATATTTAAATTACTTACAACATGCAGGGATTAGGCAGTATTTGGAGAATACCCAAAACATTGCGGAACCAGTATCAAATATAACTCTAAATTCTTGCGGTGGAGTTCCAATTTTAATAGAGCCATAGTAAGCTACGTTTTTGAAATTCGTCAAATTTTCTGAAGGAAAATTATCTTTTAAAGGACAAACTTTTCGCAAGTTGGTGTCAACTTTTTTCAAACATTGTCGAACGGAATGCATCTTGTACAATGGAATCCTTGAAATAACATAAAGAACACTCTATAAATGCAAGTACATATATACTAGCAAATATATATGTATATAAAATAAATATTCACATTTGATACGACTAACAGATATTCTCAGAATAAATATAAGTCATGAAAGTCCAAACAAATTTAAACGTTTTAAAAATCAATTATATAACTTACATATTTACAATACATGACGCATTTAGATATAACTATATCAGAAATGTTTTCAAATTGTATAATCCTCATATATATATCTCAAGAGTAATATTTAATTTGTAATCCAGTCTTTTCAATAAAATCATTATAACGAACATTGCTTTTTAATTATCGACAATTTCTATGTGTAATTTTATACATAAAAATAATTTAAATTAAGTAACTGTATCAACTATTAAAAATTGGATGCGCAAAGAATATCATTTAAACAAATAATACAAAGCAACTTAATATACCTACAGTGTTACTACAAGACTTACAATTGATCTGCTTTCGCACAAAAAGTAGTTTACAATTAGATGTTTGATGACCTCCAATCACGATTTATGTTAACGTCGTTCAAATAAACACAAAGGAATAAACACAAGATGGACAAAAGCCAATGTTACGAAAAAACAATGAGCACTTTCTCAAAAATATTCTTATTTTATTTACTTTTTGATTAATAAATAAAAATATACGTTTTTACCAAAGAAATTTCCAATTTGTATTGAAGAATTAATTGCATTTGCACAAACCATGCGTTTAATTCAAGAAGTCGAAAACGAGTAAAAATCGATTTTTATAATTTCGACACTTATCATGCCAATATACAATATAATAAAAAATATACTGACCTGTGCAATTGCGCGTCAGTCGTCATAAAGAGCATCGTCACTACCGCAAAAAGGCGAAACATTTCAGAATTTATTTATTACTAAAATCTCGATTTATAAAAATTTAAACGAAGAGCTTCTTTCAAAACATTATGATCGGATACACAGAAAAATAAAGTGTTGTCGCTTAATAACGCTCTTCTTAATACTGTATCGGTATTCGATAGCGTTATATACATATATGATCGCGCGTGACCCTCTGTTGAATGCTTGAACGAGAAGAGGACGGCCCAAACATTCGAAATATATTGATGGATTTCCGATCAATTTAATTTAAATATATCATATTTTGCATGATCGTGTGTTCTTAATTAAGAACGTTTACATAAATTCATGATTAATAACAAAAACAATTCTTTCGTAAGAGTACATTGTTTATATCAATTAACAGATAATCATGCAACATTAACTTTACAATAGATAATGTGCAGAAAGTAGCATTTAATTAATCGACATTTTTTATATAATTCTGTGCGTAAAAACTATATTTATATAATTATAAATCACCTTATTTGATGAATTCTTGAAGTTGTTAAAATGAAAAGAAAATATACATAATTTTGAAATATTTATTTGACTATTCATTAATTTCATAAATATTTCTATAAACAACTTGTTTTGTTAAATTAGAATAATATTAGTACGAATATTTTAGTTCAAAATTCTATATATAAAATTTAAAAAATTATACCATATGTACATTTCTTGCCTATATTAAACAAATTTTAGGAAAATGCAACTATACGAAATTTTATAAAAGAAATAATATATCTCTAATAAGGAAACGTATTTTCTTATTAAAAATATGTGACTAATTTATCGAACTAAGATAATTTGCAATAATGAGAAACCGTTATTATGATTGTAATATGTTTTTATTGGTTATTTTTATCAAATTTATCTTGATTTAAAAAAGTTGATATGGAATGTTGGTATCATTTAAACATATATGTATAAACATATATATTACATATATTAAAATTAAAATTTATAAATAATAATAGCGCAATAATAGTGTAACATTTATATTCAATTTATAATCAAATTATTTCTGACGAAAAAATAATAATGGTTCGATAATAATTAATTTTTCACGCTCTTAATATTCAACTATAATCTGAGAAATCATGATATCCGAATATGAGATCAATTCTTAAGAACTCTTTAACGAAGCTTATTTTATTCAAAAAGTTGAAAGGCGCTGCTAAATCGCGCGCTGATTGCGAAATTTTGGTGGCATCTGTTAACCAAGAACAAAGAATAAGTCAATTTTCCTTCCAATTTTCTCACGCAGTTCATTTTTGTACTCTCGATTTACGCAAGAATTTGAATCGAGAGAAGATAACACCCAGATATTATTTTTAATTACATAAAACAGCGGAACATATTATCGCCACAACCTTTAGCGATTAATATGATATAGTAAATTGTAATCAGCAAAACTCCCTTGTCGTGTCGAACAGCACCGTTATACATTTAAGGGCACATGACGGAATGAATAATACAGATAAAATCAGGTCGATAAGTCGATGATTTGATGAGATTCGGAAATACTTTAGGTCGCAGCGAGATTATCTTAAAGCGATGACATCGAGCTGTTTTCCCACTGAAGGGAAGCATATTAATTCTTGTTCACGTACGAAGATGTAGAGAGTGAAACGGAAAAACCTTTGAAATTCTCGGTCCATAAAAATGCTTTATTGACGAGAGAGCTTCAAGATTAATTTTATTAGATCCAATGTAATATTTTACCTCCAATTCTTATTAAATCGAGCAAGGAGAAAATGATTTTTATGACATTACTATAAAATCGGAAACTTTTATTGGTCATCGCACAGCACTTGAATAACTTTCTATTTACAGATTTATCATTCTATATATGCAATCACATTTACATAGGTTTTGATTACAGAAAGTAGAATGTGGTCACGACGAAGTAGATCGACTTTTATAAATTCAATACTTATTATATCGATATGTAACGTACACATACAATATAATATATGAACTTAGATTTGGATTTTCGCGTCGATCAACACCACAGTCACCACGAGAAAGCATGTTTTCGAAATTTTGTGTAAATTCCTTTCTGTACATTACGACATACAAAAAGAAATTATACTCGACTATTAGCTATCATTTATAGACATTTGATGGCGATTATATATACAATCGCGCGCATTCGAAACACATCCGTGTTATGAATCCGTCCTATCGATTAATCAAATTTAAAAATATTTTATTTAATATTTTGTTTTATAATTATTGTATTAAAATAAATTATTAAATGTGCTTGTGATTAAGAATGTTAATGAAGGAAATATCGGCATTTCAAAAGAATAGATTGATTATATCGACTAGACGGCCATGCAACAATGAACTTAGCAAATTACAATCCTCGCAAAAATTTGCATTGTAATTAGCAATAAGCTCATATCAGCTGCTTTCACGATAAAGTATTGATGTTGAAAATTAAGTCACAATTATGTACATACGTAAAAATTCACATTAATAATATGCAAAATTTGTCGGTTAGCGATTAAAAAAGATTTGTTTCTTATCGAAAACTAAATAAATAATTTAAAAAATGATGATAAAGTACACAATAAAAGGTGCTCTCTAAAAGTGAATCAGTGTATTATCATTGTAATCAGTGCTGTACTTATAACTATTTGTAATCAGTGAATATTTACTGAAAAACAGTAAATACTCACTGATTACAAGCAGTTATAAGTACAGCACTGATTACAGTGATAATAAACTGATTCACTTTTAGCGAGTGACAATGAAAGATTTTCTATACATTTTGATAATTTCTATACTTTTTTCGCCAAAGCAAATCCCACTCGATTTTGGTCCATATCAAACTCGGTGTAGTAACGACCAACAAATGGCATGCCCAGAACCCATTCTATATCATCGTAATATGTTGAGTAAACCCCTTTCGAGAAAACGGGTATACATATGCTTTCATCATCTGGATGCTGAGCAGAATTAAATACACAATATAAACTTCTCTTATACATATTTAAATGATTTGAAATGACACAATATAAACTTCTCTTATACATATTTAAATGATTTAAATAATTTTCCTAAAGCACTCACCCGAATAATGTAATCTTTACTGGTAAGATCGAACGCCTTACCACCCAAATTAAACGTGATTGTAGGCAATTGGAAAATTCGATCGCAGTCCACCTTTAAATAAATAATATTAAGTTAATAATTAATAATAAATATATTCAACTATATTCATATTAAATAATAATATTAAGTTAATAATTAATAATAAATATATTCAAATATATTCATATTAAATATGTTCAACGGAAGCAAGGATTAATGTATTCGTTCCATAAAAGTTTATGTTTCATTTGGACGTACCTAATATTTATTTTTTTATCGCTATTTTAATTTTTTATAACCTTTTTATCAAAAACTACGTGCTTTGTGAAAGATATGATTACTTGAAATATCGTTTACTTACCGTTCCCTGTCGATCAGTTTCAATAAATTTATAAATATGTGAAATATGTAATCGTGGCCCAATTATTTTCCAAGCATTTGTATCAACGACAGCTTCGCAGCTTTCTTCGCACCAAGTTGAATTATTTATTTGGATACTACAAAGCAATAATGTAAACAATTTGTTGAAATATGATTAACGTAATTTAAAAATTAACGTACCTATCAATGGTAAGCAGCATGTACTCTTTATCACTAAAAGGAATATATGTGAAATGTCCTTCGTAATAATTAGGATTGGAACCACCCAATGTCAACATACCACCTAAATCGGCTGAAGTGTTTCTGCAAATTATATTTTTTATATCGCAATATGTATGTATGTGCAAATTAAGACTAAGTTATATTTAATGTGCAAGTATAAATATTACTTTAATTTAAAATTATATAATACTGTATATAAATAATAAATCTAATTTATTTTAATATTAAAATAAATATAAAATAAATATAAAATAGATATAAATATATATATATATATATATATATATATATATATAACTGTATGCTTATTAAAAACTCTTGTCTATAGATATATGTTGTTTATAAGTAGAGAAGATATGTACCTATTTAGATAAAAACTGAAAATGCGTGATGACACTAAACCTTGCTTAATCATGTTGTCGAAGATAGGCGTTGTTTCATCATATAAGTTGGAAGAGCTCAGGCCTAAGAAACCATCAAGTTCTTGTATATTAAACATATCTTCATTTGATATGTATAATGCTTCTGCAAATGTTTGATTCTTTACATCGAGATTGGCAACCTATGATAAAATTGGTATTGCAATAATACATACATCGTCGTTGCCGCGCAAGAAAAAGAATATGATTGCTTAAAAAATGTTTAAACTATGATTATAGTTATAACTAAATTGGATTGCTTGTTTAATAATGACTTACATTCACTATATCAGTAGATAGGAGTCCATTAATACTGTAATCGACGTATTTTATATTAATGTTAGTATTATTTCTTATATGTGTGTAGGAATCCACACTATAATATTGATTATGTCCTGCTGTGAAGCATATTCAGTAATATAGAAAATTAACAATATTGGAAAGATTTTGAAAATATATATACAGATATTGTCTTATTAACCTATATTAAATATACAATATTCTTTTATAAATAATGACATAGGTTGTACATATATTTGTCGAATTAATTCATAAATCATGTTTATCAATGCTCGTTTGTACCTTGAGAAAATAAATGTGATAAATTATTCAAATTAATTTATACATTTCCAAATTTCAATGTTTGCCATTGCAATGTAAAAATGTATCTGTATTATATTCAACTTTTTAAATACCGCAAGATTACACTTGAAAAATATAATTGTACATAGAATATACAATATTAAATTTATTTAATAAATGACAAATAAAAATATATATTATTTATTTAATAAATGACAAATATATATATTAGCGGATTTAAGAATTTAAAGTTTAAGCTTGTTTAAAGAACAGTTCTTTTAAATTAAATTTACTCAATAAATAACAAATAAACATACACACACAAATAAATTACTTACAACAAAGAGAAAGTGTGCAATTTTTGGAGAATACCCAAAGATGTGTGGAACCACAATGAAATACAACTTTAAATTCTTGCGGTGGAGATCCAATTTTAATGGAGCCATAGTAATTCACGTTTTTAAAATTGGTCAAACGTACTGAAGGAAGATTATCACCTGAGGAAGAAACTTTTTGCAAGTTGATGCCATCTTTTTTCAAAAATTTTGGAAAGAAATCCCTCTGGTTCCTTGAAATAACATAAAGAACAATTTGTGAATGCAAATACATATATGCTAGCAAATATATATATATATATATATATATATATATATATATATATAATGAATATTCATTTGATATGATTAACAGGTATTTTCAGAACAAAAATATAAATTACGAAAATCTACACAAATTTAAACATCTCGAAAATCAACTATATAATTTACGTATTTACAATATAAGTACAATACGCATTCAGATATAATTATAGAAATGTTTATTAATTCGATATTTCTGAATTATATGATTCTCATATATATATATATATATATATATATATATATATATATTGAAAGTAATATTTAATTTGTAATCCAGTCTTTTAAAAAAATTCATTCTAACATAACGGACCTTGATTTTTAATTAACGACAATTCTGTGTAATTTCTGTGTAATTTTACACATAAAAATAATTTAAAAACATGTAACTTTATCAACTATTAAAAATAAGATACGGAAAATGTCAAATAAACAAATAATACAAAGCTCTCATTATACCTACAGTTGACCTGCTATCGCGTAGAAATATAGTTTACAATTAGATGTTTTGATGACCTATAAACATGATTTATGTCAACCATCGTCGTTCAAATAAAAACAAAGGCAAGATGGGCAAAAGCGATTGTTGCGAAAAAACAATGAGTCACTTTATCAAAAATATTCTTATTTTATTTACTCTTTGACTGATAAATAAAAGTATGCGTTTTAACAAAAGAAAGTTCATCCAATATGTATTGAAGCATTAATTACATTTGCACAAGCCACGCGTTTAATTCAAAAAGTCGGAAACGTGAAAAAATCGATCTTTGTAAGTTTGATAATTATCGTGCCAATTTACAATATAATATAATATATACTGACCTGTCTAATCGTGCGTCAGTCGTCATAAAGAGCACCGTCACTACCGCAAAAAAGCGAAACATATTTCAGAATTGATTTACTGCTGAAGTCTCGATTCGTGAAAATTTCAACGAGATCTTTCTTTCGACACTTTATGATAGATACGCAGAAAAATAAAGTGTTGTCGCTAACACTCTTCCTAACACTGTATCGATATTCGGCGTTATGTACATCATGATCGCGCATGCTCTTCTGTTGAATGCTTGAACGGGGAGAGAACGCGCGAAACATTCGAAAAATCCTGATGAATTTCCATCGATCAATTTAATTTAAATATATCATATTTTGCATAATCATGTGTTCTTAATTATAAACTTAATTTATTTCCATAAATTTATGATTAATAATAATGAGAATTCTTTCGAAAGAATACATTGTTTATATCGTCTAAATAGATAATCATGCAACATTAACTTTACAATAGAAAGTTTGAAAAAAGCAGCATTTAATTAATCGACATTTTTTTATATAATTCTATGCGGAAAAACTATGTTTATATATTTATAAATCACCTTATTTGATGAATTTTTGAAGTTATGAAAGAGGATAGAAAATATATATAATCTTAAAATATTTATTTAAATATTCATTAATTTCCTAAATTTTGCTATAAACAACTTGTTCTGTTTAATTTAGGATAATATGAATATTTTAACTCAAGACATATAAAACTTAAAAATTTATACTAATTATACATTTCTTTCCTATATTATGCAAATTTGAAGAAAATATAACCATACGAAATTTTGTGAAAAAAATAATAGATCTCACATAAGGAAATTAAATATTTTTTATTAAAAATGTGTGATTAATTTATTGAAATAAGATAATTTGCGATGAGAAACGTTATTATGATAATCTCAATTATATTATGACAATAAACTTATAATAAGGTATCTTATAATAAAATATACACATTAAGTTAAAAAAATTGTAATTATTTTATTGTAATTTTATTATTAGTTCTTTTTATCAAATTTTATTGTAATTTTATCAAATTTTATTGTAATTTTATTATTAGTTCTTTTTATCAAATGTATGTGTATTATATATAATATATGTATTATATATATGTATATATATATACACATATATATATTATACATATATAAACATATATTACAATTAAAATTTATAAATAATAATAGCGATGTAATATTTATAATCAATTTGAAATCAAATTATTTCAGGTCTGATTGAAACGCACCGATAATCCGGAACAACCAGATCTAGTGATTATTTGATACAATATAGATACAAATGTTCAGTTGAAGATCGTTTCTTTAGTCTCCAGAAATATAGAGAAGTCATTAGATCCATTAGGTCCATTCAAATTAAGTGAGATCTATTGCACTTCTTCGTACATAACGATACGCAAGAATTATAAATCGAGAACGTATGACAATGGTTAGTTATTTTTTATAAGTTAACAATCTATAACTTTCTATTTAGGATTTATCGTTCTATGTATGCAAGCACACTTACATAGGTTTTAGATGTCAAAAAGTCAAATGTGGTCGCGATAAGGTAAATTCATTTTTATAAAATCAATATTATATCGATATGTAACGTACACATTCAATATGTATGTCTTCCGCACGTTGTGACTGGATATACAAAAAATAAATTGTATTTGACTATTAGAGCTCTCGTTTATCGACATTTGGCGACTGCTATACAATCGCGCGCAAACGAAACACATCCGTATTATCGGTTCGTCCTATCGATCAGTTAAATTTAAAAATATTTTATTTAATATTTAATTTTATAATTAAAAAACAAATTGTATTAATATAAATTATTAAATGTGCGTGCGATTAAGAATGAAAATGAAGGAAAAATCAGTATTTCGAAAGAATAGATTGATTATATGGACTAGACGGCCATGCTACAATGACCTTAGCGAATGACATTACTCATAAAAATTCGCATTCCAATTAGCAATAAGCTTATTTCAACTACTTTCACGATAAAGTATTGCTTTTAAAAATTATGTAGATTGCGCAAAAATTTACATTGATAATAATATGCAGACTTTGTCGTTTGGCGATTAGAAAAGATTAAATGTTTTTCTTACCGAAAACTAAACAAGTAATTTAAAAAATTATAATAAAATATACAATAAAAGGTGACAATAAAAGATTTTCTATACATTTTGATAAATTCTATACATTTCTCGCCAAAGCAAATCCCATTCGGTCTTTCTCCAAATCAAACTCGGTGTAATAACGGCCAATAAATGGCATTCCCAGAATCCATTCTGTTTCATCATATATTGAATGATGTTTCGAGAAAACGGGTATACATATACTTTCATCATCTGGATGCTGAGCAGAATTAAATACACAATATAAACTTCTTTTATACATATTTAAGTAATTCAAATAATTTTCCTATAGCACTCACCCGAATGATGTAATCTTCACCAGTAAGATCGAATAAATTACCATCCAAATTAAAACTGATTGTAGGAAATTGGAAAATTCGATTGCAGTCCACCTTTAAATAAATAATAATATCAAGTTAGTAATTAATAATAAATATATTAAATATGTTCAACGAAAACAAGGATTATTGCCTTTGTTTCATAAAAATTTATGTTTCATTTGGACGTACCTAATATTTATTTCTTTTTATCGCTATTTTAATTTTTTATATCCTTTTTATCAAAGGTTACGTGCTTTGTGAAAGATATGATTACTTGAAATATCATTTACTTACTGTTCCTTGTCGATTAGATTCAATAAATTGATAAATATTTGCAATATCAAATCGTGGTCCAATTATTTGCCAAACACTTGGATCAGCGACAGCTTGGCAGCCTTCCTCGCAGGAAGTAAAATTTTGTATATTGATGCTACAAAGCGATAACGTAAATAATTTGTTGAAACATGATTAATGTAATTTAAAAAATAACGTACCTATGAATGGTAAATTGCAAGTGCTCTTTGTTAGTAATAGGAATATATGTAAAATCTCCTTTGTAATAAGCAGGGTCGGAACCACCCAATGTCAATATACCACCTAAATCGGCTGAAGTGTCCCTGCAAATTAAATTTTTTTATCTCGATATGTATGTGAAAATTAAAATTAACTTAGTTATATTTAATGTGTAAATTTAATATTACTTTAATTTAAAAAATTATAATACTGTATATATAAATAATAAATTTAAATTATCAAATTAAAATAAAATATAATAATAGGCCATAAAGAGCCAACGCAGTTGTAACGCGTGTTTTTGAAGAAAAAAATAATCCATGAAAACGATCACATTAAACGATCTTTCTTCTTTATTGACATCAAAAGTTTCGGACTCAGTTCGAGCCTTCTTCAGTGATTGTGCATAGTCTTATTTTTAGAGAGTGAACGTGAACTCGAAAGAAGAAAGATCGTTTAATGTGATCGTTTTCATGGATTATTTTTTTCGTCAAAAACATGCCAACTGCGTTGGCTCTTTATGGTCTATTATTATATTTTATTTTAATTTGTTAATTTTAAGAGCCTCTAATTTTGTTTATCTTTAATTTAAATTATATTAATATTAAAATAAATATAAATATATATATAAATAGAGCTCCATATACTTATATGTATAATATTCGTATTTATTAAAAATTCTCGTTTAGAGATATATATCGTTTAGAGATATATGTTGTTTATAGGTAGAGAAGATATGTACCTATTTAGATAAAAACTGAAAATGCGTGATGACACTAGACCTTGTTCAATCATGTTGTCGAAGACAGGCGTTATTCCACCATCATGTATATTAGAAGAGAGCAGGCCGAAGTGACCATCAAGTTCTTGTTTATATATATCAAATGTATCTTCATATAATATGTATATCGTTTCCGTAAATGTTTGATTCTTTACAATGAGATTGGCAACCTATGATAAAATTGTGTGGCATTAAAATAATGCATACATCGTCGTTACCACGCAAGAGAAAGAACATGATTGCTTAAGAAATGTTTAAACTACTCGCATGAATTTATTTCTAACTAAATTGGATTGATTGTTTATAATAATTACTTACATTCACTATATCAGTAGATAGAAATCCACCAATACTGTAATCAACGTATTCTATATCAATCTCAACATTATTTGTTATATATGTGTAGGAATCCATACTATTATATTGATTATGTCCTGCTGTGAAGCAGATCCAGTAATATCGAAAATTAGTAATATTGGAAATATTTTAAAAATATATATACAGATATTGTCTTATTAAATATACAATATTTTTTTATAAATAATGATATATGTTGTACATGTATTTGTCGAATTAATTCATAAATCATCTTTGTTTATCAATGTTTGTTTGTATCTTCAGAAAATGAATATGATAAATTATTTAAATTAATTTATACATTTCCAAATTCCAAAATTTGCCATCGTAACACTATAGTTAACATTATAGTAACATTATAGTACACTATAGTATTAAATATTGCTATAAAATTAAGTAAATATCTGTATTATATATTTAATTTTTTAAATATCACTAGATTATACTTGCAAAATATAATTGTAGACACACAAACAAATTACTTACAACAAAAAGGCATTGTGCAATTTTTGGAGAATACCCAAAGATGTGTGGAACCACAATGAAATACAACTTTAAATTCTTGCGGTGGATATCCAATTTTAATGGAGCCATAGTAATTCACGTTTTTAAAATTGGTCAAACGTACTGAAGGAAGATTACCTAAGGAAGAAACTTTTTGCAAGTTGGTGCCATCTTTTTTCAAAACTTCTGAAAAGAAATCCCTCTTGTTCCTTGAAATAACATAAAGAAGAATCTGTGAATGCAAGTACATATATACTAGCAAATATATATATATATATATATATATATATATATAAATTAAATATTCACATTTGATATAACTGACAGGTATTCTCAGAACAAAAATATAAGTTACGAAAGTCTACACAAATTTAAACGTCTCAGAAATCAACTAAATAATTTACATATTTACAATATAAGTGCATTATGCATTTAAATATAATTATATCAGAAATGTTTTAATTCAATAATATTTCTGAATTATATGATTCTCATATTTATATAAATATATATATATATATATATATACATATATATATATATATATATATATATTCAAAAATTCTATTAGTGCGTGATATTCAAGATCTTTATGACCGTATCACTGCAGATTGCGAGACAATCCGCTGTACGTCACGCATTTTTTAATCGATGCATCGATGTGTCACTGCTTGTATTCAGGAAAATGGTAAACATTTTCAACATTTATTGTAACATACTCAAGGTCACATTAAAACCAAATGTAAATAAGCCTAATTAAACGATTGTTGTCTAGAATAATTAATCCTAAATTTTTCCTTGTGTAATACAATTAACAGTATTTTCCACATAACTCTTGAAATAAGCATTTCCGCACCTATATCCATATAAGATTTTCTCATCCTTTAAGTATGAGAAATATCTCCTTAAATTTTTGACATACTTTTTTAGAACACCCTGTATATCAAAAGTCACATTTAATTTGTAATCCAGTCTTTTAAATAAAATTATTATAATATAACGGACATTGATTTTTCATTAACGATAATTTCTGTGTAATTTTACACATAGAAATAATTTAAAAACATGTAACTATATCAACTATTAAAAATAGGATACAGAAAATGTCAAGTACACAAATAATACAAAGCAATTCATTATACCTATTATATACAATTGATCTGCTAACGCATGAAAAAAAAGTCTACAATTAGTTTTGATGACCTCCAAACACGACTTATGTCAACGGTCGTCGTTAATAAGAATAAAGGCAAGATGGACAAAAGCGAACGTTACGAAAGAACGATGAGTCACTTTTTCAAAAATATTCTTATTTTATTTATTCTTTGACTAATAAATAAAAATATACGTTTTGACCAATGAAAGTTCATCCAATATGTATAGAAGGATTAATTGCATTTGCAAGCCACGCGTTTAAAAAAGAAATCGGATGCAAGAGAAAATCGATCTATATAATTTCAATATCTATCATGCCAATATACAATATAATAAAATATATACTAACCTGTCCAATTGCGCGTCAGTAGTTATAAAAAGCACCATCATTACCACAAAATGGCGAAACATATTTCAGAATTTATTTACTACTGAAGTCTTGATTCGTGAAAATTTGACGAGTTTCTTTTGAAATGTATAACTGAATACACAGGAAAATAAAGTGTTGTCGCTTATTAACTCTCCTCTTAATAGTGTATCGGTATTCAATAGCGTTATATATACATATGATCGCGCGTGCCCTTCTGTTGAGTGCTTGAATGGGGAGAAAACGCGCGAAACATTCGAAAAATCCTTAGATAGATTCCCATCGATCAATTTAATTTAAATATATCATATTTTACATGGTCGTGTATTTTTAATTAAGAACGTTTACATAAATTATACATTATTACAATAATTTACGTAAATTCATGATCAATAATAAAATACAATTCTTTCGAAAGAGTACATTGTTTTTATCGACTAAACAGATCATGCAACATTAACTTTACAATAGATAATGTGCAGAAAGTAGCATTTAATTAATAGACATTTTTTATATAATTCTGTGCGGAAAAACTATATTTATATAATTATAAATCACCTTATTTGATGAATTCTTGAAGTTTTTAAAGAGAAAGGAAGATATACATAATTTTGAAATATGTATTTGAATATTCATTAATTTCATAAATTTTGCTATAAACAACTTGTTGTGTTAAATTAGGAATAATATTAATACAAATATTTTTGTTCAAGATTCTCTATACAAAACTTAAAAAACTATACTGTAGGTACATTTCTTTCATATATTAAGCAAATTTTAGGAAAATGCAACTGTACGAAATTTTGTGAAAGAAATAACAGATCTCTAATAAGGAAACATATTTTTTTGTGAAAAAAAATGTCTGATTAATTTATCGTAATAAGATAATTTGCAATAATGAGAAACGTTATTACAATGATAATTTCAGTTACATTATAAGAATAAATTTATAATAACATAACTTATAATAAAATATACACGTTATAAGTTAAAAAATTGTAATTATTTTATTAGTTCTAATTTTATTATTAGTTCTTTTTATCAAATTCATCCCGATTTAAAAAAGTTGATACCGAATATTCATATAATTCAAACATAATATATATATACTAACATATATATATATATATAATATATATACTGTATATATAATACACATACTATATGTTATGTTTGAATTATATAAATATTTGGTATCAAATTTTTTAAACGAACAGTAGATCTGATTGCTCCGGATTATCGGTGATGCGTATTTCAATCAGACCTGAAATAATTTGATTTCAAATTGATTATAAATATTACATCGTTATTATTATTTATAAATTTTAATTGTAATATACAGGGTGTCCCAGTTATCTTCTGTCATCTTTCAAAGACAGATTTCTGGGATCATTTGAAGACGATTTTTCCTCAGCGAAAATGTCAATGAAGGCCATCATTTTTTGCATGTTCCCGATTTTTGTCATCGTATATCTTTGCAATTAAGTCTTAAATTAAAACTCAACTAAAGTAAACTCTATTTAAAATTAATCAAAAAATGTGGTCTTGTTAATATTTTATTTCTACAAAGCTTAGTTTACGAAAATTATTTCCAATCACTTATAATTCGAAAATTATTAGTGCCTTGACAGTTTCAACCCTGTATGTTTATGCATAAATATATACATATATATATACATATATATATATGTATATATATATATATATATATATATATATATATATATATCACTGATAATTCGGAACAATCAGATCTACTGCTTATTTCTTACAATATACAAATGTTCAACAATGATCTTAGCAAATGACACTGTTTGCAAAAATTCGCATTCTGATTAGTAATAAGCTTATATCAGCTACTTTCGATAAAGTATTGCTGTTGAAAATTAACGCACAGATATGTAGATATTACGCAAAATTTTACATTGACATAATAAGCGAACCTTGTCGATTGGCGATTAAAAAAGATTAAATTTTTTTCTTTCCGAAAACTAAACAAATAATTTAAAAAATAATAATAACGTATACCATAAAAGATGACAATGAAAGATTTTCTACACATTTTGATAAATTCTATATATTTTTCGCCAAAGCAAATCCTACTCGATCTTTCTCCATATCTAACTCGGTGTAGTAACGGCCAATAAATGGCATTCCCAGAATCCATTCTATTTTACTGCCAGGTTTTGCATCATGTTTCGAGAAGACGGTTAGACATATACTTTCATCATCTGGATGCTGAGCAGAATTAAATACAATATAAACTTCTCTTATACATATTTAAATGATTTAAATAATTTTCCTAAAGCACTCACCCGAATGATGTAATCCTTACCGGTAAGATTGAACGTCTTACCACTCAAATTAAATCTGATTGTAGGCAATTGGAAAATTCGATCGCAGTCCACCTTTAAATAAATAATAATATCAAGTTAGCAATTAATAAGAAATATATTAAATGTGTTCAACGGAAACAAGGATTAATGTCGTTGTTCCATAAAAGTTTATGTTTCATTTGTACGTATCTAATATTTATTTTTTCTATCGCTATTTCAATTTTATATAATTTTTTTTATCAAAGGATACGTGTTTTGTGAAGGATATGATTACTTGAAATATCGTTTACTTACTACTCCCCGTGGATTATTTCTAATAGATTCATAAATATGTGCAATATCAAATCGTGGTCCAGTTATTTGCCAAAGACTTGGGTCAATGGCAGCTTGGCAGCTTCTCTCGCACAAAATTAAATCATTTATTTGGATACTACAAAGCAATGACGTTAACAATTTGTTGAAACACGATTAATTTAAAAAATAACGAACCTGTCAATGGTAAATTGCAAGTCCTTTTTGTTAGTAACAGAATATATGTCAAATCTCCTTCGTAATAAGCAGGATCGGAACCACCGAATATCAATTTACCACCTAAATCGGCTGAAGTGTTTCTGCAAATTATATTTTTTATATCGCAATATGTATGTATGTGAAAATTAAGACTAAATTATATTTAATGTGCAAATATAAATATTACTTTAATTTAAAAAATTATAATACTGTATATAAATAATAAATTTCATTTATGTTAATATTAAAATAAATATAAACGTATACAAATAGAGCTCTATGTACTTATACATATAAAATTCATATTTATTAAAAATTCTTGTTTAGAAAGAGATATATGTTGTTTTTAGATGGAGAAAATATCTACCTATTTAGATAAAAACTCAAAATGTGTGATGACACTAGACCTTGTTTAATCATGTCGTCAAAGACAGACGTTATTCTACCATAATATAATTTGGAAGAGAGCAGGCCGACGAGACCATCAAGTTCTTGGTCGCCAAATGCATCAAATATATGTCCATGTGATAAGTATACTGCTTCCGTAAATGTATGATTCTTCACATTGAGATTGCCAACCTACGATAAAATTAGTATTGAAGTAATGCATACATTGTCGTTACCGCGCAAGAGAAAGAACATGATTGCTTAAGAAATGTTTAAACTATTCGTATGATTTTATTTCTAATTAAATTAGATTGATTGTTAATAATGAGTTACATTTACTACATCAGTAGATAGGTATCCACCAATTATGTAATCGGCGTATTTTATATTAGCCATCATATTATTTGGTATACATGTGGAGGAATTCATTCCATCATATTGATTATGTCGTGCTATGAAACATATTCAGTAATATCAAAACTTAATAATATTGGAAAGATTATAAAAATATATATACAGATATTGCCTTATTAATCTATATTAAATATATAATATTCTTTTATAAATAATGATATATGTTGTACATGTATTTGTCGAATTAATTCATAAATCATGTTTGTTTATCAATGCTGGTTTGTACCTTCAGAGAATAAATGTAATAAATTATTTAAATTAATGTATACATTTCCAAATTCCAAAGTTTGCCATTGTAATATTTACACTATAATATTAAATATTACTATAAAATTAAATAAATACGTATCTGTATTATATATTTAACTTTTTAAATATCGCAAGATTATACTTGCAAAATATATATAATTGTAGATCGAATATATATATATATATATATATATATATATATATAAACAAATTACTTACAACAACCAGAGATTATGCACTTTTTGGAGAACACCCAAAGATGTGTGGAATCCAAAACAAATTTAATTTTAAATTCTTGCGGTGGAGTTCCAATTTTAATGAAGCCATAGTAAATCACGTTTTTAAAATTAGTCAAACGTACTGATGGAAGATTATCATTTAACAAAGAAATTTCTTGCAACTTGATATCAACTTTTTTCGAAGTTTGATTGTAATCCATCTTGTACGATGGAACACTTGAAAGAACATAAAGAACATTCTGTGATATGAATATATATATATATATATATATAATATATATATATATATACTTACAAATAATATAAAATAAATATTCACATTTAATATGACTAACAGATATTCTCAGAACAAATATAAGTTATAAAAGTCTATACAAATTTAAACGTCTCAGAAATCAACTACATAACTTACACATTTACAATATAAGTACATTGCACATTCACATATAATTATATCAGAAATGTTTATTAATTCGTATTTCTGAATTATATGATTCTCATATATATATAAGAAGTAATATATAATTTGTAATCCAGTCTTTTAAATAAAATCATTATAACATAACGAACATTGATTTTTAATTAACGACAATTTCTGTGTAATTTTACACATAGAAATAATTTAAAAACATGTAACTTTATCAACTATTAAAAATAGAATACAGAAAATGTCAAGTAAACAAATAATACGAAGCAATTCATTATACCTATTATATACAGTTGATCTGCTAACGCGTGAAGAAAAGTTTACAATTAGATATTTTGATGACCTCCGAGCACGATTTATGTCAATGATCGTCGTTTAAATAGGGATAAAGGCAAGATGGACAAAAGCGAACGTTACGAAGGAACGATAAGTTATTTTTTCAAGAATATTCTTATTTTATTTACTCTTTGACTGATAAATAAAAATATGCGTTTTGACCAAAGAAATTTTATCTAATTTGTATTGAAGCATTGATTATATTTGCACAAGCCGCACGTTTAATTCATGAAATCGGATATGAGAAAAAATCAATCTTTATAATTTCGATATTTATCAATATACAATATAATAAAATATATACTGACCTCACCAATTGCGCGTCAGTCGTCATAAAGAGTATCGTCACTATCGCAAAAAGGCGAAACATATTTCAGAATTTATTCATTTCTGAAGTCCCGATTCATAAAAATTCGAACGAAGAGTGTCTTTCAAAACTTTATGACGAGATCCGCAGAAAAATAAGGTGTTCTCTTACTAACTCTGCTCTTAACACTGTATCGGTATTTGATAGCGTTATATGTGTATATAACGCTTCCTGCCCCTCTATTGAATGCTTGAACGGGGAGAAAACGCGCGAAACGTTCGAAAAATCCTGATTGATTTTCATTGATCAATTTAATTTAATTATATTATATTTTATGAACGTATATTCTATAATATGAACGTTTATTTACATAAATTCATAATTAATAATAAAAAACAATTATTTCAAGAAAGAATACATTGTTTATATCGAAAAAGTAGGCAATCATGCATCATTAGTTTTACATAGATAATTTGCAAAAAGTAGCATTTAATTAATTGACATTTTTTTATATAATTTTGTGCGAAAATATATTTATACAAATATAAGTCACTTTATTTGATAAATTCCTGAGGTTTTTAAAGAAAAAAGAAAATATACATAATCTTGAAATATATTTCTAAATATTCATTAAATTCATAATTTTTGCTATAAACAATTTGTTATGTTAAATTAAAGATAATATTAATATGAATATTTTTACTCTCAAGATACTATACAAAATTTTAATATCCATATATTTCGTACTTCTGCTATATATATATATATATATATATATATATATATATATATATATTTCTACATTTTTTACGTATATATAAATTTGACAAAAATACAACAATACGAAATTTTGTGAAAGAAGTAATAGATCTCTAATAAGGAATCGTATTTTGTTATTAAAAATGTCTGATTAATTTATCAAAATGAGATAATTTTTAGTAACGAGAAACATTATTATGATAATAATTTCAATTACATTATAAGAATAAAGTTATAATAAGATAACTTATAATAAAAAGAGAAAATGATTTTTGTAACATTACCATAAAATCGAAAACATTTATCGCTCTGCACGAATAACCTTCTATATAAAATTTATCGGTGTTTAATGAATGCAATCACATTTATATAGATTTTAGATTTCCGAAAGTCGAATGTGGTTACGACGAGGTAGATAGATTTTTATAAAATCAATGCACATACAATGCAATGTATGAACTTAGCTTTGAATTTCTGCGTCGATTAATATCACAGTCACTACGAGAAAGCGGAATATGTTTCTAAAATTTCTGGCAAATTTCTTTCTGTACGTTGTGACTGGACATACAAAAAATAAATTGTATTCGACTGTTAGATCTCTCGTTCATCTAAATTTGGCGACTGCTATACAATCACGCGCACATTCGAAACACATCCGTCCTATCGATCAATAGAATTTAAAAATATTTTATTTAATATTTTGTTTTATAATTAAAACAAATTGTATTAAAATAAATTATTAAATGTGCGCGTGATTAAGAATGATAACAAAGGAGCAATCAGCGTTTTGAAAGAATAGATTGATTATGTCGACCAGACAATCATGCATCAATGAACTTAGCAAATGACTCTGGTCTCAAAAATTTGCATTCTAATTAGCAATAAGCTCATATCAGCTGTTTCTACAATAAAGTATTGCTTTGAAAAATTAAAATACAATTTTGTACGTATTGTGCAAAAATTCACATTGATGACATGCAAACTTTGCCGGTTGTCGATTTTAAAAAATTGAATTATTTTCTTATCAAAAACTAAACAAATAATTAGAAAAAATGATGATAAAGTATACAATAAAATGTGACAATGAAAGATTTTCTATACATTTCGATGAATTTTTCGACAAAGCAAATCCCACTCGGTCTTTCTCTATGTCAAACTCGGTGTAGTTACTATCAATAAATGGTGACAAAGAAATATTTTCTATATGTTTCGATGAATTTTTTGCCAAAGCAAATCCCACTCGGTCTTTCTCCATGTCAAACTCGGTGTAATTACTATCAATAAATGGTGACATAGAAATATTTTCTATATGTTTCGATGAATTTTTTGCCAAAGCAAATTCCACTCGGTCTTTCTCCATGTCAAACTCGGTGTAATTACTATCAATAAATGGTGACAAAGAAATATTTTCTATATGTTTCGATGAATTTTTTGCCAAAGCAAATCCCACTCGGTCTCTCTCCATATCAAACTCGGTGTAGTAACGGCCAATAAATGGCATTCCCAGAATCCATTCTATTTTACTGCCAGGTTTTGCATCATGTTTCGAGAAGACGGTTAGACATATACTTTCATCATCTGGATGCTAAGCAGAATTAAATACACAATATAAACTTCTCTTATACATATTTAAATGATTTGAAATGACACAATATAAACTTCTCTTATACATATTTAAATGATTTAAATAATTTTCCTAAAGCACTCACCCGAATGATGTAATCCTTACCGGTAAGATTGAACGTCTTACCACTCAAATTAAATCTGATTGTAGGCAATTGGAAAATTCGATCGCAGTCCACCTTTAAATAAATAATAATATCAAGTTCGCAATTAATAAGAAATATATTAAATATGTTAAACGGAAAAAAGGATTAATGTCGTTGTTCCATAAAAGTTTATGTTTTATTTGAACGTATCTAATATTTATTTTTTCTATCGCTATTTCAATTTTATATAATTTTTTTTATCAAAGGATACGAGTTTTGTGAAGGATATGATTACTTGAAATATCGTTTACTTACTACTCCCTGTGGATTATTTTTAATAGATTCATAAATATGTGCAATATCAAATCGTGGTCCAGTTATTTGCCAAAGACTTGGGTCAATGGCAGCTTGGCAGCTTCTCTCGCACAAAGTAAAATCATTTATTTGGATACTACAAAGTGATGACGTTAACAATTTGTTGAAACACGATTAATTTAAAAAATAACGAACCTGTCAATGGTAAATTGCAAGTCCTTTTTGTTAGTAACAGGAATATATGTCAAATCTCCTTCGTAATAAGCAGGATCGGAACCACCGAATATCAATTTACCACCTAAATCGGCTGAAGTGTTTCTGCAAATTATATTTTTTATATCGCAATATGTATGTATGTGAAAATTAAGACTAAATTATATTTAATGTGCAAATATAAATATTACTTTAATTTAAAAAATTATAATACTGTATATAAATAATAAATTTCATTTATGTTAATATTAAAATAAATATAAACGTATACAAATAGAGCTCTATGTACTTATACATATAAAATTCATATTTATTAAAAATTCTTGTTTAGAAAGATATATGTTGTTTTTAGATGGAGAAAATATGTACCTATTTAGATAAAAACTCAAAATGTGTGATGACACTAGACCTTGTTTAATCATGTCGTCAAAGACAGACGTTATTCTACCATAATATAATTTGGAAGAGAGCAGGCCGACGAAACCATCAAGTTCTTGGTCGCCAAATGCATCAAATATATGTCCATGTGATAAGTATACTGTTTCCGTAAATGTATGATTCTTCACATTGAGATTGCCAACCTACGATAAAATTAGTATTGAAGTAATGCATACATTGTCGTTACCGCGCAAGAGAAAGAACATGATTGCTTAAGAAATGTTTAAACTATTCGTATGATTTTATTTCTAATTAAATTGGATTGATTGTTAATAATGAGTTACATTCACTACATCAGTAGATAGGTATCCACCAATTATGTAACCGGCGTATTTTATATTAGCCATAATATTATTTGGTATACATGTGGAGGAATTCATTCCATCATATTGATTATGCCGTGCTGTGAAAAATATTCAGTAATATCAAAACTTAATAATATTGGAAAGATTATAAAAATATATATACAGATATTGCCTTATTAATCTGTATTAAATATATAATATTCTTTTATAAATAATGATATATGTTGTACATGTATTTGTCGAATTAATTCATAAATCATGTTTGTTTATCAATGCTGGTTTGTACCTTCAGAAAATAAATGTGATAAATTATTTAAATTAATTTATACATTTCCAAATTCCAAAGTTTACCATTGTAATATTTACACTATAATATTAAATATTACTATAAAATTAAGTAAATACGTATTTGTATTATATATTTAACTTTTTAAATATCGCAAGATTATACTTGCAAAATATAATTGTAGATCGAATATATATATATATATATATATATATATATATATATAAACAAATTACTTACAACAACCAGAGATTATGCACTTTTTGGAGAACACCCAAAGATGTGTGGAATCCAAAACAAATTTAATTTTAAATTCTTGCGGTGGAGTTCCAATTTTAATGAAGCCATAGTAAATCACGTTTTTAAAATTAGTCAAACGTACTGATGGAAGATTATCATTTAACAAAGAAATTTCTTGCAACTTGATATCAACTTTTTTCGAAGTTTGATTGTAATCCATCTTGTACGATGGAACACTTGAAAGAACATAAAGAACATTCTGTGATATGAATATATATATATATATACATATATATATATATATATATATATATATATATATATATATACTTACAAATAATATAAAATAAATATTCACATTTAATATGACTAACAGATATTCTCAGAACAAATATAAGTTATAAAAGTCTATACAAATTTAAACGTCTCAGAAATCAACTACATAACTTACACATTTACAATATAAGTACATTGCACATTCACATATAATTATATCAGAAATGTTTATTAATTCGTATTTCTGAATTATATGATTCTCATATATATATAAGAAGTAATATATAATTTGTAATCCAGTCTTTTAAATAAAATCATTATAACATAACGAACATTGATTTTTAATTAACGACAATTTCTGTGTAATTTTACACATAGAAATAATTTAAAACATGTAACTTTATCAACTATTAAAAATAGAATACAGAAAATGTCAAGTAAACAAATAATACGAAGCAATTCATTATACCTATTATATACAGTTGATCTGCTAACGCGTGAAGAAAAGTTTACAATTAGATATTTTGATGACATCCGAGCACGATTTATGTCAATGATCGTCGTTTAAATAGGGATAAAGGCAAGATGGACAAAAGCGAACGTTACGAAGGAACAATAAGTTATTTTTTCAAGAATATTCTTATTTTATTTACTCTTTGACTGATAAATAAAAATATGCGTTTTGACCGAAGAAATTTTATCTAATTTGTATTGAAGCATTGATTATATTTGCACAAGCCGCACGTTTAATTCATGAAATCGGATATGAGAAAAAATCAATCTTTATAATTTCGATATTTATCAATATACAATATAATAAAATATATACTGACCTCACCAATTGCGCGTCAGTCGTCATAAAGAGTATCGTCACTATCGCAAAAAGGCGAAACATATTTCAGAATTTATTTATTCTTTCTGAAGTCCCGATTCATGAAAATTCGAACGAAGAGTGTCTTTCAAAACTTTATGACGAGATCCGCAGAAAAATAAGGTGTTCTCTTACTAACTCTGCTCTTAACACTGTATCGGTATTTGATAGCGTTATATGTGTATATAACGCTTCCTGCCCCTCTATTGAATGCTTGAACGGGGAGAAAACGCGCGGAACGTTCGAAAAATCCTGATTGATTTTCATCGATCAATTTAATTTAATTATATTATATTTTATGATCGTATATTCTATAATATGAACGTTTATTTACATAAATTCATAATTAATAATAAAAAACAATTATTTCAAGAAAGAATACATTGTTTATATCGAAAAAGTAGACAATCATGCATCATTAGTTTTACATAGATAATTTGCAAAAAGTAGCATTTAATTAATTGACATTTTTTTATATAATTTTGTGCGAAAATATATTTATACAAATATAAGTCACTTTATTTGATAAATTCCTGAGGTTTTTAAAGAAAAAAGAAAATATACATAATCTTAAAATATGTTTCTAAATATTCATTAAATTCATAATTTTTGCTACAAATAAATTGTTATGTTAAATTAAAGATAATATTAATATGAATATTTTTACTCTCAAGATACTATACAAAATATAAATATCCATATATTTCTTACTTCTGCTATATATATATATATATATATATATATATATATATATATATATTTCTACATTTCTTACGTATATATAAATTTGACAAAAATACAACAATACGAAATTTTGTGAAAGAAGTAATAGATCTCTAATAAGGAATCGTATTTTGTTATTAAAAATGTCTGATTAATTTTTATCAAAATGAGATAATTTTTAGTAACGAGAAACATTATTATGATAATAATTTCAATTACATTATAAGAATAAAGTTATAATAAGATAACTTATAATAAAAAGAGAAAATGACTTTTGTAACATTACCATAAAATCGAAATTTATCGCTCTGCACTAATAACCTTCTATATAAAATTTATCGGTGTTTAATGAATGCAATCACATTTACATAGGTTTTGGATTTCAGAAAGTCAAATCTGATCACGATGTGATAGATCAATTTTTAAAAATCAATATTTATTATATCAATATATAACGTACACATATAATATATACAATGTATGAATTTAGCTTTGGATTTCCGCGTCGATTAATATCACAGTCACTACGAGAAAGCGGAATATGTTTCTAAAATATCTGGCAAATTTCTTTCTGTACGTTGTGACTGGACATACAAAAAATAAATTGTATTCGACTGTTAGATCTCTCGTTCATTTAAATTTGGCGACTGCTATACAATCACGCGCACATTCGAAACACATCCGTCCTATCAATCAATAGAATTTAAAAATATTTTATTTAATATTTTGTTTTATAATTAAAACAAATTGTATTAAAATAAATTATTAAATGTGCACGTGATTAAGAATGATAACAAAGGAGCAATCAGCGTTTTGAAAGAATAGATTGATTATGTCGACCAGACAATCATGCATCAATGAACTTAGCAAATGACACTGGTCTCAAAAATTTGCATTCTAATTAGCAATAAGCTCATATCAACTGTTTCTACAATAAAGTATTGCTTTGAAAAATTAAAATACAATTTTGTACGTATTGTGCAAAAATTCACATTGATGACATGCAAACTTTGCCGGTTGCCGATTTAAAAAAATTGAATTATTTTCTTATCAAAAACTAAACAAATAATTAGAAAAAATGATGATAAAGTATACAATAAAATGTGACAATAAAAGATTTTCTATACATTTCGATGAATTTTTCGACAAAGCAAATCCCACTCGGTCTTTCTCTATGTCAAACTCGGTGTAGTTACTATCAATAAATGGTGACAAAGAAATATTTTCTATATGTTTCGATGAATTTTTTGCCAAAGCAAATTCCACTCGGTCTTTCTCTATGTCAAACTCGGTGTAATTACTATCAATAAATGGTGACAAAGAAATATTGTTTATATGTTTCGATGAATTTTTTGCCAAAGCAAATCCCACTCGGTCTCTCTCCATATCAAACTCGGTGTAGTAACGGCCAATAAATGGCATGCCCAGTATCCATATTTCATTTTCATATTGTATTAGGTCATCTTTCGAGAAGGCGATTATACATATACTTTCATTATTTGGATGCTGAGCAATATTAAATACACAATATTAACTTCTCTTATACATATTTAAATAATTTAAATAATAATTTGCTTATAGCACTCACCCGAATAATGTAATCCTTACCGGTAAGATCGAACGCCTTACCATTCATAATAAAACTGACTGTAGGCAATTGGAAAATTTTATTGCAGTCCACCTTGAAATAAAACATAATATCAAATTAGTAATTAATAATATTTAATAAATATATCATTAGAAACAAGAATTAATGTCGTTGTGTCGAGATAGAAGTTTATGTTTCATTTGAACTTACCTAATATTTATTCTTCCTTTATCGCTATTTTTAACTTTTTATAATATTTTATCAAATGTTTCGTGCTTTGTGAAAGATACGAGTACTTGAAAAATATCGTTTACTTACTCTTTTACGTTTATCACCTCCAATAAATGTATTAATCTTTGCGATATCCAATTTTGGTCCTAATATTAGCGTAGTGCCTGTATCAACGATAGCTTGGCAGCTTTTCTCGCACAGATTATTAGATTTTATTTCGATCCTACAAAACGATGTGGACAATTTATTGAAACACGATTAATGTAATTTGAAAAAATAATGTACCTATCAATGCTAATTTGCCAGTATCCTATGCGAGTAACAGGAATATATGTGAAATTCCCTTCATAATAAGCAGGATCGGAACCACCCAATATCAATTCACCACCTAAATCGGCTGAAGTGTCTCTGCAAATTATACATATTTTTTATATCGTAATATATGTGTGAAAATTAAAATTAAATTTCATTTAATATGCAAATATAAATATTACTTTAATTTATAGCATTATAATACTATATATAAATAATAAATTTAATTTATGTTACTATTGAAAAGCTATAAAGTAAATATAAATATATGTAGAAATCGAACTGTATATTTATTAAAAACTCTTGTTTATAGATATATGTTGTTCAGAAGTAGAGAAGATGTGTACCTATTTAGATAAAAACTGAAAATGTGTGGTGATACTAGATCTTGTTCAATAATGTTATCGAAGACAGACATTATTTCACTGGCAGATATGTAGGAATAACTCAGGCCCAAGATACCATCGTATGGTCTAGAAAAATTAGGATATATTCTTAACATATTAATTACTTCCATAAATATTTGATTCTGAACATTGAGGTTGGCAACCTATAATAAAATTGATATTAAATTAATATATCGTCATCATTGCAAGAAAAAAACAATATGATTGTTTAAGAAAGGTTTAAATTACAATTATAGTTGTAACTATTGAATTGTTTGTTTAATGATGACTTACATTCACTTTATCGGCAGCTAAGTATCCTTCTACATCGTATGAGCCATAATAAAAACGTGAAAATCTTTTTACTGTATTATTGTATGTCTCGGATCTTGCACTATCATATAGATTATGTCCTGCTACGAAGCATATTGAGTAATATCGAAAATTAACAATACTAATTAGCAATTAACAATTACATATTTCTTCTTAAAAATAACTACGCGTTATTTTTACACCAATTGATTCTTCACATTAATTTGTGCATAAAAGTATCGATATAAGATAATCGAAAAATGAATATTTTACTAGATATTTTGCAGCTTAATTAAGGTAAGATTTTATGAGACTTTAAAAATTATTTCAAGCTTCAAAATTCGAAAAGTACTCCAAGAAAAGATACTTTATTATAGTGTTTTGGAAAGTCCTCGAGATAAGCTACAGAATGTAATGAAAAATGGGGGTTTTTGTTTCAGAATTTGACCTTCAAAAGACTACCCAAGATCAAATAATTGTCACCATCTTAGGTGCCCTTTTCATTCATATAACTTCTTTCTTTACTATTTCTTTGTATATGTAAAAATAACGGAGTTATTTGTGGTGTAAAAGTTAAATTAAACACTCTGTATATATAAACAAATTACTTACAACAAACAGGAATTTTGCAATTTTTGGAGAATATCCAAAGATGTGGGGAACCAGTATCAAATACAACTTTAAATTCTTGCTGCGGAGTTCCAATTTTAATAATGCCATAGTAATTTATGTTTTTGTAATTGGTCAAATTTGCGGAAGGAAAATCGTTACTTAACAAAAAATCTTCTTCCAACTTGTCAACTTTTTCCAAAGATTGAATGTAGTCCATCTTGTACAATGGAATCCTTGAAATAACATATAGAATATTTTGTGACATATATACAGGGTGTCCCAGACCACCCGTCTCACCCGATTTTTTCGTAAACGCGACATTTTAAAGAAAAATGTTTCAGACAAAAGTTTTGTGACTTCGAGGGGGACATAAGATGGTGTCATTGGTTTGACCTTGGATAGTCGTTTGAAGATCACGTGAAGGTCACCTTTAATTTCTTAAATGGAAACCCCCATTTTTCAATGCATATTCTTGTAGCTTACCTCGAGAGCTTTCCAAAACACTGTAATTAAGTACCTTTTTATTAAGTACTTTTTGAGTTATAAGGCTTGAAATAATTTCTTAATTTTACATAAACCATAAAATATCTAGTAAACCATTCATTTTTCGATTATCTTACCTTCATACTTTTACGTACAAAATAATGAGAGGAATCAATTGGTGTAAAGAAAACATACAGTTGTTTTTAAGAAAAAATATGGAATTGTTAATTGCAAATTACATATTTTTTCTTAGAAACAACTATGTGTTTTCTTTACACCAATTGATTCCTCTCATTATTTTGTACATAAAAGTATGAAGGTAAGATAATCGAAAAATGAATGGTTTACTAGATATTTTATGGTTTATGTAAAATTAAGAAATTATTTCAAGCCTTATAACTCAAAAAGTACTTAATAAAACGGTACTTAATTATAGTGTTTTGGAAAGCTCTCGAGATAAGCTACAAGAATATGCAATGAAAAATAGGAGGTTCCATTTAAGAAATTGAAGGTAATCTTTATGTGACCTTCAAACGACTATCCAAGGTCAAACCAATGACACCATCTTATGTCCCCCTCGAAGTCACAAAACTTTTGTCTGAAACATTTTTCTTTAAAATGTCGCGTTTACGAAAAAATCGGGTGAGACGGGTGGTCTTGGACACCCAGTATATATATATATATATATATATATATATATATATATATATATATGCTTATAAATAATATAAAATGAATATTCACATTTGATATGACTAACAGATATTCTCAGAACATATATAAATTATGAAAGTCTATACAAATTTAAACGTTTCAGAAATCAGTTACATAATTTACATATTGTATTTACAATATAAGTACATTACGCATTTAGATATAACTATATCGCAACGATTTATTAACTCGATGATCTTTTTGAATTATTTGACTCTCATATATCTCGAAAATAATATTTAATCTGTAATCCAGTCTTTTAAATAAAATTATTATAACGGACATTGCTTTCTATTTAACGAAAATTTTGCATGCAATTTTATGCGTTACAATTTTATAAATAATTCAAAAACAAGCAACTCTATCAATTATTAAAACTAGAATACAGAAAATATCAAGTAAACAAATAATACAAAGCAACTCATTATATCTACAGTTGATCTGCTATCGCGTGAAAAAGTTGTTTACAATTAGATGTTTTGATGACTTCCAATCATGATTTATATTAACGGTCATCGTTTAAATAGGAATAAAGGCAAGATAAAAGCGAACGTTACTAAAGAACAATGAGCACTTTCTCAAAAATATTCTTATTTTATTTACTCCTTGACTAATAAATAAAAATATATATATGTTTCGACAAAAAAAATATATGTTTGGACAAAACAAAGTTTATCCAATTCGTATAGAAGAATTAATTGCATTTGCACAAGTCACGCGTTTAATAAAAGAAATGAAATGCAAGAAAAAATTGATCTTTAATAATTTCGATATTTATCATGCCAATATGCAATAAAATAAAATATATACTGACCTGTGCAATTGCGCGTCAGTCGTCATAAAGAGTACTGTCACTACTGCAAGAAGACGAAACATATTTCAGAATTGATTTATTACTGAAGTCTTCATTCGTGAAAATTTGACGAGTTTCTTTCAAAATTCATAACCTGATACATAGGAAAATAAAGTATTGTCGTTTACTAACTCCTCTTAACATTGTATTCGATAGCGTTATATACATATATGATCGCACATGCCCCTCTGTTGAATACTTGAACAGGGAGAAAACGCGCGAAACATTCGAAAAATTCTGATTTCCATCGATCAATTTAATTTAAATATATCACATTTTTCATGATCGTGTATTCTAAATTAAGAACGTTTATTTACATAAATTCATGATATGAATGAATAGTAAAAAACAGTTCTTTCGAAAAAACTACATTGTTTATATCGACTAATCAGTCAATCATGCGTCATTAATTTTACAATAGGTAATTTGCAAAAAGTAGCATTTAATTAATTGGCATTTTTTATATAATTCTGCGCGAAAAAATTATATTTATATAATTTTAAATCACTTTATTTCATAAATTCTAGAGGTTTCTAAAAGAAAAAAGAAAATATACATAATCGTGAAATATGTATTTAAATATTCATTAGTTTTATCATTTTTGAGAAAAACAACTTGTTGTGTTAAATTAGGAATAATATTAATACGAATATTTTTACTCAAGATACTATACAAAATTTAAAAATCCATATATTTCTTACTTCTGCTATATATATATATATATATATATATATATATATATATATATATTTCTACTATACATTTCTTTCGTCATATATTGTGTGAATTTGAAAAAAATACAACAATACGAAATTTTGTGGAAGAAGTAATAAATCTCTAATAAAGAATCGTATTTTTTATTAAAAATGTCTGATTAATTTATCAAAATAAGATAATTTTCAATAACAAGAAACATTGATGATAATTACATTATAAGAATATAGTTATAAGATAAGATAACTTATAATAAAAAGAGAAAATGATTTTTGTAACATTATCATAAAATCGAGAACTTTTATTGCTCATCGCACTGCACCAATTCCATTTAGGATTCATCGGTGTTTATCAATGCAATTACATTTACATAGGTTTTAGATTTCCGAAAATCGAATGTGGTCACGAGGTGGATTGATTTTTAAAAAAATGAACATTTATTATATCGATATGTATCGTGCACATACAATACAATGTATGAATTTAGCTTTGGATTTCCACATCTATCAACACCACAGTCACCACGAGAAAGCGTGTTTTCGAAATTTTTGATAAATTGCTTCCTGTACGTTGCGACATACAAAAAATAAATTGTATTCGACTATTAGAGCTCTCGTTTACCTACATTTGACGACTGCTATAGAATCGCGCGCACACAAAATACATCCGTCCTATCGATCAATCAAATTTAAAAATATTTTATTTAATATTTTGTTTCATAATTAAAACAAATTGTATTAAAATAAATTATTAAATGTGCGCGTGATTAAGAATGATAATGAAGGAGCAATCAGCGTTTCGAAAAAATAGCTTGATTATGTCGACTAAACAGCTATGCATCAATAAACTTAGCAAATGACACTGCTCGTAAAAATTCTAATTAACAATATGTTCATATCAACTACTTTCACGATGAAGTATTGCTTTTAAAAATTAAAACACATTTATGTGTTTTAATTTTTAAAAGCAATACTTCATCGTGAAAGTGCATATAGCGTGTGCATATAGCGCAAAAATTCACATTGATGACATGCAAACTTTGCCGGTTGTCGATTAAAACAAATTAAATTTCTTTCTTCTCGAAAACTAAACAAATAATTTAAAAAAAATGATGATAAAATATACAATAAAATGTGACAATGAAAGATTTTCTATACATTTTGATGAACTTTTCGCCAAAGCAAATCCCACTCTGTCTCCCTCCATATCAAACTCGGTATAGTAACGACCAATAAATGGCATGCCCAGAACCCATTTTATTTCATTGTCATATGTTAGGTGATGTTTCGCGAAGACGGTTACACATATACTTTCATTATTTGGATGCTGAGCAATATTAAATACACAATATTAACTTCTCTTATACATATTTAAATAATTTAAATAATAATTTGCTTATAGCACTCACCCGAATGATGTAATCATTACCGGTAAGATCGAACGCCTTACCACCCATAATAAACCTGATTGTAGGCAATTGGAAAATTTTATTGCAGTCCACCTTTAAATAAAACATAATATCAAGTTAGTAATTAATAATATTTAATAAATATATCATTAGAAACAAGAATTAATGTCGTTGTGTCGAAATAGAAGTTTATGTTTCATTTGAACTTACCTAATATTTATTCTTCTTTTATCGCTATTCTTAACTTTTTATAATTTTTTATCAAATGTTTCGTGCTTTGTGAAAGGTACGATTACTTGAAAAATATCGTTTACTTACTCTTTTACGTTTATCACCTCCAATAAATGTATTAATCTTTGCGATATCCAATTTTGGTCCTAATATTAACGAAGAGCCTGTATCAACGATAGCTTGGCAGCTTTCCTCGCACAGATTATCAGATTTTATTTTGATCCTACAAAACGATGATGTTGACAATTTGTTGAAACACGATTAATGTAATTTAAAAAAATAACGTACCTATCAATGCTAATTTGCCAGTATCCTTTGTGAGTAACAGGAATATATGTGAAATCCCCTTCGTAATAAGCAGGATCGGAACCACCCAATATCAATTCACCACCTAAATCGGCTGAAGTGTCTCTGCAAATTATACATATTTTTTATATCGTAATATATGTATGAAAATTAAAATTAAATTTTATTTAATATGCAAATATAAATATTACTTTAATTTAAAAAAATATTATGCTATATATAAATAATAAATTTAATTGATGTTAATATTAAAATAACTATAAAATAAATATAAATATTTATACAAATAGAACTGTTATATTTATTAAAAAATTGTGTTTATAGATATATGTTGTTCATAAGTAGGGAAGATATGCACCTGTTTAGATAAAAACTGAAAATGCGTGATGACACTAGACTTTGATTAATTATGTTGTCGAAGACAGGCGTTATTCTATCAGACGACATATTGGAATAGCTCAGACCCAAGACACCATCGTATGGTTTAGAAAAATTTGAATTCATTCTTAACACATTAGTTACTTCTAGAAATATTTGATTCTGAACATTGAGATTGGCCACCTATAAAATTATATAAAACCTATATAAAATTGATATTGAAATAACATATCATTGTTATTGAACGAAAAAACAATATGATTGTTTAAGAAAGGTTTAAATTACAATTATAGTTATAACTGAATTAGATTGTTTGCTTAATGATGACTTACATTCACTTTATCAGCAGCTAAGTATCCTTCTACATCGTAAGAGCCATATTCAAAACGAAGAAGACGATTATTTCCTATATTATTATATGTCTCGGATCTTGCACTATCGTATTGATTATGTCCTGCTATAAAGCATATTCAGTAATATCAAAAATTAGCAATAATAATTTGCAATTAACAATTACATGTTTTTTCTTAAAAATAACTATGTGCATTTTTTACATCAATTGATTCCTCACATTATTTTGTGTAAAAGTATCGAGATAAGGTAGTCGAAAAATAAATATTTTACTAGATATTTTACATTTAATTAAAGTAAGATTTTACGGTAAAATTAAGAAATTATTTCAAGTCTCATAACTCGAAAAATACTCAATGAAAAAATACTTTTTTACAGTGTTTTGAAAAGCTCTCAAGATAAGCTACAAGAATGTGTAATAAAAAATGGGGGTTTTCGTTTCAGAATTTGACCTTCAAAAAATTATATCCAAGATCAAATAATTGTATATATATATATATATATATATATATATATATATATATATAATTAAATTACTTACAATAAATAGGGAATGTGCACTTTTTGGACAAAACCCAAAGATCTGCGGAACCAGTATCAAACATCACTTTAAATTCTTGCTGCGGTGTTCCAATTCTAATAATGCCATAATAAATTATGTTTTTGTAATTGGTCAAATTTTCTGAAGGAAAATCGTCACTTAACAAAAAAGTTTCTTCCAACTTGGTGTCAACTGCTTCCAAAGATTGTCGAATGTAATCCATCTTGTACAATGGAATCCTTGAAATAACATAAAGAACATTTTGTAATATGAATATATATACTTATAAAAAATATAAAATAAATGTTCTAATTTGATATGACTAACAGATATTCTAAGAAATATAAATTATAAAAGTCTATACAAATGCAATCGTCCCAGAAATCAACTATATAACTTACACATTTATAATATAAATACATTACGCATTTAGATGTAATTATATCAGAACGGTTTATTAACATGATGATCTTTTTAAATTATTTGATCCTCATATATCTCAAAAGTGATATTTAATCTGTAATCCAGTCTTTTAACCCTTTCATATCTCCGGAACATATAAGTATGTCCCATCTACGAAAAAATCATAACTTTGAACAAATAATCTTATCAACTTTTACCTTGGCTTGTTTTAAAGAAGAAGATTCAAGTTACATGTAAAAAAAATCGTGCACTTTGAAATATAATGTTTACAATAAAATTCTTAAACTTTGCAAAAAATTAAACTTTTAGACAGTGAAGAATAACCGTATATTATATTAAAAATCATACAATTTATACGTTAATAATAAACTTAAAGTTTTATTTAAATGTAATTTAAATGTGATTTAAATGTGATTACACCTTTATTATATTAAATATAACAGTTTATATGTGTAATCAAAAGTATATGCGAACTTCGACATCTGAGCTCGCGACAGATGCGCGGCTTGCAAAAAAAAAAAGAGTATATCAACGCCATGAGTCGAGAATGTGTATATGTGTGTCGATTCAAAAAAACCATAATATATATTTAAAACAAAAATCCAAGCATACTTTAAATATATTTATATTTAAGCTTTTTATGGCCGCCATCTTAAATTTGCCATTTTGAATTTAAATTTTGATGGTAAATTTGAAAAATCAGCATCCCCAAAAACCTATAAAACTGTTAATATATAAAACGTATGTCTTTTGGAAAAGCCGGAGGTACGGAAGAGTTAAATAAAATCATTATAACACATTGACATTGCTTTTTAATTAACGACAATTTTGCAAGTAATTTTACAATTTCAGAAATAATTCCAAAACAAGTAATTGTATCAACTATTAAAGACTAGAATACAGAAAAAATCAAGAAAACAAATAATATAAAGCAACTCATTATATTTGCAGATGATCTGCTATCGCTTGAAAAAATAGTTTACAATTCGATGTTTTGACCTCCAATCATGATTTATATTAACGGTCGTCGTTTAAATAAGAATAAAAGCAAGATGGACAAAAGCAAACGTTACGAAAGAACAATGAGCATTTTCTCAAAAAAATTCTTATTTTATTATATTTACTCTTTAACTAATAAATAAAAATATACGTTTTGCCAAATAAATTTCATCCAATTTGTATTGAAACATTAATTGCATTTGCACAATCGACGCGTTTAATCCACGAAATCGGATACGAGAAAAAAATCAATTTTTATAATTTCGATATTTATCATGCTAATATACAATATAATAAAATATATACTGACCTCTGCAATTGCGCGTCAGTCGTTATAAAGAGCACCGTCACTACCGCAAAAAGGCGAAACATATTTCAAAATTTATTTACTACTGAAGTCTTGATTCGTGAAAATTTGACGAGTTTCTTTCGAAATTTATAACCGGATACACGGAAAAATAAAGTGTTGTCTCTTACTGACATTCTTCTTAACACTGTATCGGTATTCGATAGCGTTATACATATGATCGCGCGTGCCCTTGTGTTGAATGCTTGAACAGGTACAGAACGCGCGAAACATTCGAAAAATCCCGATAGATTTCATCGATAAATTTAATTTAAATATTTCATATTTTTCATAATCGTGTATTTTAAATTAAGAACGTTTATTTACATAAATTCATGATTAATAATAAGAAAACAATTCTTTCAAGAAAGAATACATTGTTTATATCGACCAGGCAGACAATCATTAACTTTACAATAATTTGCATTAAATAGTAGCATTTAATTAATCGACATTTTTTTATATAATTTTGTGCAAGAAAATATATTTATACAATATAAGTTTATACATTATAAGTCACTTTATTTGATAAATTATTGAAATTTCTAAAGAAAAAAGAAAATATACATAATCTTAAAATATGTATTTAAATATTCATTAGTTTCATAATTTTTGAGAAAAACAACTTGTGTTATATTAGGGATAATATTAATATGAATATTTTTACTCAAGATACTATACAAAATTTAAAAATCCATATATTTCTTATTTCTGCTATATATAATATATATATATATATATATATATATATATTTCTACATTTTTTTCATATATATAAATTTAACAAAAATACAACAATACGAAATTTTGTGAAAGAAGGAATAGATCTCTAATAAAGAATCGTATTTTTTAATTAAAAATGTCTGATTAATTTATCGAAATAAGATAATTTTCAATAATAAGAAACATTATTATGATGGAATTTCCATTACATTATAAGAATAAAGTTAAAATAAGATAACTTATAATAAAAAGAGAAAATGATTTTTGTAACATTACCATAAAATCGAAAACTTTTATTGCTCATCGCACTGCACGAATAACCTTTCCTTTAGAATTTATCGGTGTTTAATGAATGCAATCACATTTACATAGGTTTTAGATTTCCGAAAGTCGAAATGTGGTCACGAGGTAGATCGATTTTTTAAAAATCATATTTATTATATCGATATGTATCGTGCACATACAATACAATGTATGAACTTAGCTTCGGATTTCCGCGTCAATCAACACCGCAGTCACTACGAGAAGCGGAATATATTTCTGAAATTTCTGGCAAATTTCTTTCTGTACGTTGTGACTGGACAAAATAAATTGTATTTTATTATTAGAGCTCTCGTTTATCTAAATTTGGCTACTGCTATACAATCATGCGTACATTCGAAACATATCCGTCCTATCGATCAATCAAATTTAAAAATATTTGATTTAATATTTTGTTTTATAATTAAAACAAATTGTATTAAAATAAATTATTAAATGTGTGCGTGATTAAGAATGATAACGAAGGAGCAATCAGCGTTGCGAAAGAATAGCTTGATTATGTCGACTAGACGGCCATGCATCAATGAACTTAGCAAAAATTCGCATTCTAATTAACAATAAGCTCATATCAGTTGCTTTTACGAAAGTATTGCTGTCGAAAATTAAGCCCACAACAGGGTCGAATTTAAAAACCCTGGAGCAACGAAGATGTGGAGACCCCTAACCATTTTTAAACCAAAATCAAATAGAAATTTTTACATTGTTTAAATAATTTATTGTGAAATAACAAGGTCGAGCAATATACATAGATCTTGTAAGTTTTGTATACCATTCGATAGGAAATTTTATCCAAAATTTGTGTTGTGAAGACCCCTGGGCTTCAGCCCCTGTTGTCCCTCCCCTAAATCCGGTCCTAGTCAAATATAAATCATTCGTGACTCTTTATCTATTTTTCGATTATTTAAATGTAATTCAGATTGAGATCGTGCAGTAAAAACATCGAATCGTAAATATAAATATATATTTTAATATAATGAAAGTGATCCTTCAATAAATAATCATATAATTAATCTATGTCATTTAAAATCTAAATTTTTATACTTTAAAATATTTCGCGTATACATTTGTCAAAATACGTATACATTTGTAAAATTACGAATACGTATACATTTGTAAAATTACGAATATTTCAAACAGACAATAACATAATGTTTGATCTTGATGGCGTATACAATAGCTCGCTAATATTTACATTCCGCGGTCTTGGTATCATTCATACGGCGACACTCGAGCAAGATAGTGGTGCGAAACGATATTTTTTCGTATATTATCGAATTTATTATTAATTGAACGATATATCATGATTTTCAATTAGATTAATTTTTCGATTTTATAATTTCGCGTATATATTTGTCAAAATACGTAAAATATTTCGAACAGACAATAACACAATGTTTGGCCTTGACGACGTATACAATAGCGCGCTAATGTTACATTCCGCGGTCTTGATATCATTCTACGGCGACACTCGAGCAAATAGTGGTGCGAAACGATACTCTTCGTATATTACACAGGCCTGCAAAAAAGGGGGTCAAAATTTCTTTTTAAGATGCAATAATGACTTTTGACGTAATTTTGCGCTGATCCGAATCTGACCGCCGAATTTGCGTAGCACGTCAGGTTTTTGAGTTATTTGTAGTTGAATAGGCCAAAAATCACTATATTAGCCATTTTCATGAATTTATTGTGAGTAAACCAATTTTTTGAAATATTTCTGTCAACGGCATCGTATAGATTCACTTTCATCTTTCGAATCCACTTTCGATTACCGCGCGCACGATTTTTCGCTCAGATATCAAGAGACACGGTAGTGTCTTGAAGTCGAGTCATCATCACTCAGGCGCAAGACACACGTGTATCTTTACGCGAATGGCTAAGTTGCGAGTAATGCATATTATCGGTTCTCAATAACCGCTGAATCGATCAATTCTTATTAGGTTCAATCAATTGCTTGGGTTCGATATAAGGAAAGTGTCTTTATTTTTGCTCTATATGCTCTATAAGCAGAAATATAACGATGCAAAGTCTCAATGTGAAACTTTTTGATTAAGAAACGTCACCGTCGTGGCTACATTTTTCACATATTTTTCTTATACGATTCGCACATTTGACGAAAGAGGCGCTGTGTTCTCGTGACGATGAGAGATGTATAATTTTTATATCATGCGAGAAATTACCGACTGTAATTGGAATGAATTGATCGGTACATAATATACTTTCCGATTCACGCATGATGCGCATAAAGTGACAGAAAATGTATAGTTCATGTCACGCATATTATTATACATTTTTTGTCACTTGCTTTATGGCGCATCATGTGTGCATTCGGAAAGTACCCATAGATGTGCTTGTGTAT